AATTACCATTTAGATTGGGTCCGGTGTTCGGATCGCGATATAGCCGGGACAAATGGCGGAACATTTTAGTTAATTGAAACGTCTGGGGGGTGAGTAGAAGGGGTCGCGCGGGCCGACGAACAATTACACTGAGTGTTAACCGGTGATAATGTATTCATTCCCCCCACCCCCCTCCAATCCACACCGCTTATGGCTGCGCGCATCCCTGTTAAGGACAACCTTTTTCAAAAAAAAAAGGTCGCCTCGAAAATTCTCGATTTGACGGATTTTTTTACTTAAATTTCAAATAAAAAAGAGAAAGTTGCTCGGTTGATTTACGCAAAGCAGATATGCTACTAGCTACTAGAAAAATAGTGGCCCGGCCCATAACGAAAATACACGAAATAATGAAGCAACGATGAAAAAATGTCATTGTGTTTACAGAAAACCTACGCACACAGACCGACACCTTAATGCATGGTCACATCGCCATCCGGCCCAAAAATCATCGGTTATCAACTCTCTTGTTTACAGAGCCAACACCTTACCTCGGCTCTTCTCTGTAATAATTTCCACATTAAAGATATTAAGCGTTCCATTAAAAAATACTCTTCACCACAATCTTCCAATAGCAATGAGGTCGAAAGCAATCCCACACTTGCCACATTCAAAACATCACTGACCACATATAAAAAGTTCTAAAGAAGTATAACCAGATTTACCACTTGTCCAAAAATTTCTCAACATCTTCGGTCCGTCAAAGACAAAATTCCATTTGAGATGCCAGGAGTTTACAGCATTCCATGCATATGCGGCAAAGAATACATTGGAGAGACCGGACGAAAAATATCAACTACGCTCAAAGAACACGAAAGAGCCTTACGACTAAGACAAATAAAGTCATCAGCTGTTGCCGAACACACTCATGAACCCTGGCATAAAATTTTATTCGATAAAACTAAAATTCTTGCATATAATCAGTTACCAACGAAAAATCCGAGAGTCTATAGAAATCTATAAACAACACAACAATCTTAACCGCGACTCAGGTTTCTACCTGTCTCCAATTTGGGAATCAGTGATCCGAGACGGTGTTTAGCGCCCCCCTCAAACAATATATAAGCAGGTAGGTACAGAGTAAAATACGAGTCAGTTTCAGTAAAGCTCTGAAGAAGCCAACAGGATGATTGGCGAAACGTCAGCAAGTTCGACTCAGCAAAAACCGACGCAGGAGGAATCCAGAAGTTTTGTAAAAAATGATATGTTGCATATTATACTTTTCTACGACCATTGTTTTTTATACATTTTTGCAAAACAGCGCTAGTACATTTACAGAGTGATGTGTGACGTGACCGTCAATGTAGACAAACCTCAATATACCATAGGTAAAATTTATGGAAAACATCTGATCGCTCCAAAGCCGTGACTAAAATACCGATAATGTCAAAAAGTGGTTGGGCACCTTGAATAACGAATCTGACGTCTTAAAGCGACTTTCCGCATGCTTGATATTTGGGTATTTTGGGGTTAGGGAGTAAAGAAAGCATTTACATTGCAATCACCAGCCAATTTGAAACGGTAAGCACTTCTATTCTGAGCCTTGCGGACTATTTCGTCGGCGCTTTGGTACCTGATCCCGACTTGCTGCCTCATTCAGTCCGAACCTAAAACTAATATACATTTTATTATGCTAGACTGCTAGACTGCAATCATTTAAAACTTCCATAAAGTAGCATTGTATAGAAATGAATATAGAGAATTACTTCGTTTTCCTTGTATAATGCGTATATAACAATCCTCAATCTGGAAACATTTTGCTTCTACCGTCCCGAAAAATAATCAAAATCGAACCAAAAAATATCTTTGAGATTAAAATTGTGAATATTTAAAAGAGTCGATTTTTCTGCACCCGACTGCTCGGATATTACTGCGTCGCAGAAAGTTTATTGTTAATTTAACGCGAAGGGAGAAACTGGTCCCCGATCGCACGTAATACTATTTTAATATCAGCCGGGTTCGGATTGCAAATCCCCTTAACGAGACCGTCAAAGGAAAAACTTTTCCGGAGACCACATTCAGCTCGACGAGATTATGGTGTTAGTATTTGTCAGCGTTTGCTACGTTGACTACGACGTCGCCGCGCTTGGAATTTCCAAACCGACGGGACACCAAGTCTTAAGAACGAAATTTGAAAGACCTCCGAGATGCTTAAACGTTTGTACCAATCAGGTTTGAGATATTGTTCGGGTCTCCCAGTTCTCTCTTATATTCCGTGACTTTGAAATTCGCAACAATGCTACTAAGAAAATGTAACGCCACGATCCAACAGTGAAATTCGTACCCGCCAGCTCTCAGTGTGTGATATTTCCAAGGATTATTTGAGAGTTTCCTTGCAATGGGAAGCTGTACTGTGATTCCCAAATGACAAACAGATAAAAGAGCAAAATTGGTCAGTCAGTCTCAAAAAAATGTCATTTACGTGTTTCATTCTTTTTGACAACGTATATTGAAGCGTGTTGTTTCAGTTTTAGGATTTATTGTTTACGATAAAAGGCAGACAACTCATTTTTCTTCAAAGCAACATACAGTTTTTTTAAAATGTTAAAATTGTGAAGCTATAAAATTGAAAATTTGTAACGATGTGTGAGTTTTTGGATATCCGATAAAAATCAAAACCGGAGACAATTTTTGGCAAAAAAATGACATCTAATGAAAAATTTTATGGAGAAAATTCTATAGCATTGCGAGCAAGACTATTGACAGGGACATTCTTATTACAAAATTAGGTTTATATGGTATTAAAGGCTCTGCACTAGAATGCATAAAGAACTTTTTACCTGATAGATCTCACCAGACTAAAATTAATAATAATGTTTCTAGTCATAGGGATAGCAGATGGGGTACCGCAGGGAAGCGTGTTGGGCCCGTTTTTATTTATTATTTATATAAATGATATGTATCAGGTTTTAAAAAACTCCTTTGTTAACTTATTTGCTGATGACACGCTTATTTCAGTCTCTGGAAACGATTGCAAAGAAAAGTCAGCGTATTCTGTGGATATACAGGGTAATAAAATTGAGTTTGTTTCCGAAATTAAATATTTAGGGGTAATCTTGGATCCACAAAAAAATTGTTAAGAAAATAGGGTCTTTTAACCGTGTATCGCGATTTTTATCGCAGTGGACTAGGATGTTACTGTATAATAGTATAATTTTGCCTCAATTTTCATATGTTTGTTCATTGCTTATATCTTGTACAAAAGAAGATTTAAATAAGTTACAGTTACAACAAAATAGGGTTATGAGAATCATCCTGAACTGTGATAGATATACTCGTATAAAGAGTATGTTAGACCAGCTAAATTGGCTAAATGTCGGGCAGTGCATTAGAAGAGCAAGTTTATGGAATTGCGCACGATCACAACCAGGCTATCTTAAATTATGGTTGGGAAAAAGGTCAAACTTTTATCAATATAATATACGTTCCAATCAGCACTTCAATGTTTCTATGGAAAAAATATCAAATTTACAGAAAACTACTCTACGATGGTGTTTGTAATTTTAATGAACTGCCGGATAATATTAGGGGCGCGCCTTGCCCATGAGTGTTCAGGAAGAGACTTAAGGAGTATTTGCGAAGTTTATAGTTTTGTTTATGCAAATTTTACTTGCTTATGTAAATAGCCAAGTGCTAAATAAAATAAATAAATGAATAAATAAATAAATAAAGAACAAGTAGATGTAGATTCCGAAGAGTAAATCGCGTGTTAAATCTGCTGTATCAGCTCTTTGAAATTCGTGAAATCTGTGAAATCCTGGTTATATATGAAATCCGTGAAATCTTAGTGAAATCATCACCTTTATCTAAAATTGTGTATAGTTTCGAATGCAATAGTACAATATTTATTCATCCTAACCAATTTTGAAAAATAACAGTTGGCAACTACAAGAGAACTATATAGTCATAAGTATTATAAAATTAAAAGAAATTCAAGGGTGAGACATTTTATTTGGAATTTTTGATGATTTCATTTATTATTCACGGATAGAAAATTATTGCAGGATATTGACTTCAACAAACGAACGGACTCAATTAGCATTTTTAGGGTCATAAAAACAGGAGATTTTAATTTGGAAAAAATATTTCCATTGCTATTAATAAGTATCGGAATTTCTTACTAAATGCGCTGAAGATGCCCTTTCCTATGAAAAAAATCACTTATTCAATAGAAAAGAAAAATTGAAAAACAAAAATTTGAATTTCATTTCTATGCCCATTTTGAAAATTGATGCAATTTATAAAATTTGCATTTATTAATAACACTGACAATAGTTTTTTTCTCTTCTCGAGAAGACGTTATAGGTATATTTTTTAATTTATTTTTTTAGTTTTTTAATTATGACGGAATACATTTTGCATAGCCTAAAAATTACTTTTCAAAATTGGCGAAAATCGCAAAATCACCAGTGTGATCTGTGAAATACTAAATAGTGGGCTATTATTCAGAATTTGAGTATGTTTAGGTTAAAAAAAAATTAAAATCCATATTGAAATAATTCAAAATACGCCATTCTGTAGCCACAGCTTGTTGCCATTCACGTTTGACTTTTGATCACTAATTTTTCTACTCGACACTCGATCGCTATGGCTTTGGTAACCAAGAATGAAGCGTAAATCCTTTTAAGAAAATACGAAAATTAATTTTTAACAAGCAAAATCGATTCGCGTGTCGCAAAATCGAATCCAATTTGAAAAACAAATTACAAGTTCAAAGAGCCCAGTAATTTCGGAGAAGGGATATTCGGAATACCGAAAAAGAGAAATTTAGAGCAAACGGAAAAATATGAATAGGTCGAATCGACGCCCACTTATTAACCGCGCGTCGCGGCGGCCATATTTTATCCGTTATGACGCTCACTGACTCGGTACGATAAGGCCCTAATCCAGAATTTATGACGTTCCCGCGGATCGCGCGCGGGGGGGGGGGACATTTGTTGGGCTGACAAAGTTTCTAAACTTACCACCCCACGGTCATGGTGTGTGCGATTGCAGCGCCTCACGCCCGACAGTTCCTGACGGTCTAAACGCGAAACACTCACTGGTCCGGACGGCACTGACGTCACACGAAACGGTGGGGGTGCAGCGTATCCATTAGTACCTGAAACAAGGCGCGAAAGATATTCGCCACGCCCATAGATACACGCGGTGGGAGACGCAATCGATGGTAAACTCTCGAGAAAAATCACGCTGTCTGGCAACGCCGCGCATCAAATGTAAACGGTACTAGTGATCGGCAGTGTACATTCGCAACATCGTAACAAACAACAGCTGCTGACATTAATTAATAGTAAATAATTAATACATTAATAAATAGATAGAAGCCCTATTGAAACATGATAACAAGCCTAGAAAAACGTCAACACAACACAATTGAAATAGTCAAATAGAACTCTACAATAAAAAGAATATCGAGAATTAAAATTTTCATCTCATTATTGTTTTTTAAAGATTTTGGCTAAAGCTATTCAATTTTACTACCTATGAAAAAATCATTCAGCAATGGCTCCTGTTAAAAGAAGTGCCGTGTATTGCCAATTAATTAAATTTTAAAGAGGCAGGATCATAAATAGGCCTAAGGGGGCTGGGGTGTCTTTTCATGAAATTGAAAAGATGATTCTATACATCTTTACTATACACGTCGTAAAGGCACTCGGTCTTTAAGAAGAACCAGTAACCCTGGGATGGGATGGGATGATTTTGTCGCAAAATTGGAGCTAGAGCTAGACAAAGACAGGAATCGGGCCGTTTTCAGTGACGTGTCACTTTTTGGCTTATTGCTCATTATTGTCATAAGTCAGCCGAAGACGTGGAGAAAGGCGCCAACTTCAATTTTGCATTTAGCGTGAGGACTGCAGTTGCTAGGAGTATTAGGGTTATGGTCTAGATTGTTTTTAACAGAAACGCTCCTACATTAATAACGAGTTAAAACTTGTCGTGTCATCAATTGCAAGCACGTTTACTGGGGCACATACAGTATACTAAGTATTTGCCGAAAATAAGTAAACATTAATTATAAAAATGGCCCGGGTGAAAGTCAACCACAAAAAAGTCAAGAAATCAGTCCCGAGTTATATATTATTTTAAATAATCTTGGAAAACCTATATTGCGAGACTACTTTCCTACCTGTTTCTTTTCATGAAATTAAATAAAAACTTAAAAATCAGAGTGATCACTTTACACATTTTAAAGTGTAAAATGAAATGAACGAGTTAATTAAGTTTTTCTACTCTCTCCTGTAAATACCCAATTATACGCCGATCTTTCATTTATTAAGCACTCTCTCCGCTGCGCTCCACTCGTGCCAAATAAATTCGTGACTCAAATGGTATTTGTTGCATAATATACTATTTTATGAGTTTGTAAGTAATTATAAATTGCTAATAACGAAAAATTTAACACCCAAACAGACCTAAGTGTATGTGGGTTAAATTAGAAACAGTTCATTATTATTACGTTGTTGTTTGGGCTAGTGCATGGTTTAATGTTCTTAATTTTAAACCCGTAGCGTAATTTTTATTTTATCGTAAGTGTAAAAAATTTAATGTTTAAATTATTTAATCGTGAAGCTAAATGATGAAAATATAGCGTCTGTTATCATATACAATGTCTCAAAGTTAAAAACAAAAATATGACAAAATGCGGTTAAAATAAAAATGCTCGTGAAGCTTACTAAAGTAATCTTATGGACTAGTCTGTCGTTAGACCAGTTCTTCAGTTATAAGGCACTTTACCACCAAATTAATATTTTCTTTGAATACTCGTATTAATCTAATTAAAATATATCAAAACTGCCTACTTCCATTTTTTGTTCTATAAATTTTGGTTTGAAAATTTTTGGTTATTAAAAAAAAATTCGCACCGTGTATACTATCCGACATATCCCGGCACCGGGGAAGGCCCGAAAAAACTTTCGACCACTTCGCTGGGTACCCTCAGTGTGCGTAAAGTAAAACTGCGATTGGCCTCCCACACGCACCACGCACCCCACCGCAACTGACACCAAAACCATGAGCGTACAGTCACCATCACCAAAAAAAAAGACCACCCTGTAATCAAAAAAATTGTACTCACCCGAGAGGGATGCACGCGTCGTCGGCTGCGGCAAACGTTTGGCCGGGCCACGGCGTCGTCGGAGCGTCGCGGCGCCGCCGCCTCCGCGTCGCCGCCATTGGAGCCCTGCCACTGTAACCAGAAGGCCGTTACTGTCGAAACCGACGCCGTGGGCCAACCGACGGCGCCGGGGGCGGGGCGTCCGCCGCAACATCGGCCTAAATTTCAATCTCGGCTTCGCACAAAAAAAAGTCACCCGTGCGTATATATATATATATGTATGTACGTCGGCGGCCATTTTGGATATATATCCAAGTTAATTGTTTTCGAAACCTTATTAAGCAGCCGACCGCCCCAACCCTGCCCGGGGTTCATTCATGACGTCGGAGAAGTTCATATTAAAACCGCTTCATAAATCGGACGCAAAAAAATAGGATATTTCAAAAGGTAAGTGATTTGGGCGTCAGTAGCAACGCGTAAAAATCGATGGGCTTTAATACTGTCCAATTAAGTACGGAAAGGCCGGAGGACGTTTCACCGGGAAACGTCAGAATCATGCGAGTTGCAGAAAAATATAGCAAATCGCACATTTTCTTGTATATTACCATTGTCGAACAACCAGTTCGCGATAACATCTTTTGACTACATTAGGTCTTCGGCCAGCTTACAACAATTGGGAACATTATTCAAAAATCCTAAAGGATACTTACTAGCTTCGTAAGAGAAGGGTCTGGACCATTCCATCATCATCTAGATTTGTTAACATAAGCTTATACATATAGTTCCTCAAAAAAAATGCTTTGACCGATAGCAAAAAACGGCGTACCCCGCTTCCCCCGCGGAGCATCAGGGCCCATCCAGCCTTCAACCGGCGTGGACGAAAAAAAAACAGCGGGGCCGACAACGATTACAGACTTTAAAACATCTACTAAACACTAAGAACACTAAATCCACACAGTGGAAACCGATTTCAAGTATTTTGGGGACGATTACAACTGATTCTCTCGGAAGCGAGCGGTGGTTAAATGTGCAATTCTCACGATAGAAACCCTGTCTTTTGCGAGTCATCAAGAACATTTTATTAACAACTTATTAAGCCCTCTTCAAAGAAATATTTTTTGACCCTCGACCTGTCACACGGATGACAAGTATGATGTTGTTAATTACCTTGGTATATTCTTACTGCCAACATCTTAGAGATCCTAGAAAAATTTCTCCACCTCTTTGAGTTATTGATAAAATGGTGTGACATTTGCAACAATTTGCCATTTGCTGTTCATATAAATGTAATCAATTTTGAACAACTGAGTATGTAAAACCAGTTATATTAAATAAAAAACATAGTATTACTTTAGTCCAGCAGTAAGCTCAGAGGTGCTGAATTCAAAAAATTCTGAACCAGAATAAAATATTTTTTTGCCAGCAAAATTTCACTTTATAAATACATAGTTCATAAAGTAATTGCAAATTATAGTTCGGTATAACATGTAGCTTTTACCCGAATCTCTGGTTAACATAACTTTCTCAGAATTTTTCCCAATAAAACAAGGTTACTCCCAACATGGCAATAATAGCTCTACATGAGTCTAAGACATAAAAGCAAAATAGTATCGTTATGGATAATAACTAGCAAACCTTCGCTGAAATCATGCAACCAAAAATACAACAGCTCAGTACTGTCGTCATTCATCTGTTGTTACCCAAATAGAATTCCATATTGCTTATTGATTTACACGTCGCCAACGTTCGAAGCGCGTGTGAGGTTGCCTCCCAGATATGAATGTGGGACGCAAAGAAAGGATTCTGGACCAATTTGAAAGTTGACTTCCATGGGCAAGACTGTAACAGTTCAACGGCCATGGTGCTGCGATGTGGAAGGCAAGAGGGAGATCACCGCATTAACTCTCTCCAGGATATCCATCCGATTTTCTTCTTATCATGTTGGAAGAATAGAAACAAACGGCCTCCAATCTCGGGCAGACCTTAAGTGGTCAGGACGTGCGAAAAATCTGCCGGTTCCGACTAGATAAGAAGATCAAAATAGCAACCTGGAATGTGCGAACATTGTGTGCAGCTGGGAAACTTAACAACTTGATACAGGAAATGCAGAGAATGAGGGTCAGTATACTGGAAGTCAGCGAGGTACGATGGCCAAATAGCGCAGTGACGTGGTCCAAGGACAAGGCATTTTATTATAGTGGTACTGACGATGTAGATAGAAACCATCGTCATGGTGTAGGCATCCTAATAGAAGAGCCTACAAAAATCGGTAAAGGAATTTGTCCCTGTTTCCGAGAGGGTTGCGACTTTGCGGAGGGGCGATAGACATTAACATAATTCAGGTATATGCTCCCACTTCAGAACAACCTAACAACGAAGTTGAACACGCGCAGATGGAGCAGGCAATGAAACAAACGACATCCAATGAAATAAATATCATATTGGGAGACTTGAACGAAAGGGTAGGCAAAAATAGAGTGAAAGGTAGGTCAATGGAGTCTGGGAGAAAGGAACGACATGGGCGGAAGACTCATTCAATTCTGCGATGAGAACAATCTGGTCATCACAAATATTTGCTACAAACTCCCACCTAGAACGTTATATACCTGGAAGTCACCGCAAGAAAATGAACAACAAGTTGTATGAGACCAGATAGATTTCATCATGATCAACCGCAGATTTAGAAATACCAAAACCAGAGTCGTTGCGCTGCCGGGCGCAGATATTGAGTCCGATCATAATCCCCGTTGTGCTGATATCAGACTGAGATTAGCCAGGACAAAAAAGAAAAGAAGCAGCAAGGGATTCGACCCCAGATTACTTAGGAACAGTGATATAAGCCACAATCAATCAATCAATATCTTAGCAGACAACTATCAAACATTAATGCCACATCAAAAATGCGTTAACCAATGACACCCATCTACTAAAATGAACACCGTAATAAGGAATGAGTGGATGAACAGGGAAATACTGGAACTAATGGAAAAACACAGACAATTCATAATGACGCAACTGGCTATCAGAGCGAGAACTCACAATGAAATCAGAAATGCTAAGGAGAAGTGGCTTGCGGACCGATGTATGGAAGCCGAACACTGTCAATGAGGCAAGCCGACAGAGGGGCCTAAAGATTAAAACCAACAAAAAGAAGTTTATGGTTATATCTAGAGATGTCTTGCCAAACCTATATTTTCAAATGAATGGCGAGCAAATAGGAGTGGAACCCAGAACTTGAAACTAGATGCAGGACAGAACAAGCAAGAACGACTTTTCTAAAACCGGAATCTAAACTTCAAACTCAGGTACAGAATGATTAAGTGTTATGTCTGGTCGGTTCTTCTGTACAGAGCGTAGAAGTGGACGCTTAAAGCTGTTTCTATCAAAAGCATTGAAGCGTTCGAAATGTAAACTCTGAGACGGATGCTCAAGATACCGTGGACGGAACGGGTCAGAAATGAGGATGTGGAGAAGTGAGGATGGTTGGATCGGAAGACCGAGAACTCTTCGAACATATTAAAAAACGAAAGATCTCTTACCTAGGGCACATTATACGGGGAGAGCGATATGACTTCCAACGCCCAATACTACAGGGAAAGATTGATGGTGGAAGACGAGGTATCGGAAGTAAAAAGTTGTCTTGGCTAAGAAATATCCGCCAGTGGATAAGCGCCCCAGTAAGCTGCAGTAAATAGAATCATATGATAGGGAAAACGGAGGATGCCTAAGCAGGAATCTGCACGGCACCTAAAGAAGAAGAAGAACGGTGGAAGATGTTACAACCGAATCATCTGCGAATAGCGAAATATAATTATCATCGTTAAATTGTGAGGTCTGAGTCTTGAACAAAATGCAAAATTTAAGTATTTACCATTTAACTACCATTTGTCATATAACGATACATTAAATGAGACTTACCTTATCAATAATCCCGTTCACTATGTAAACCGGTGTTCATAAAACCGCCTCTAATTGGAAAAACGGCTACAAATGTCGTCACGCCTCATCCTCGACGGCTCAAGTGTCTTTAATTGACGAGTGGGCACACTAACCCATTAAACAATTTCTCTCGACATTTTTGCCAGGTTTCTATTCTGTCTAATCGTCAACGCAAGTACCTCGACCATGTTGCCTAGTTTCGCGATCTTCTGTGCATTACTGCTCCACCAGGTCACCCTTGCAATTGGTTCGAACGTTTCCGGTACCTCGTACTTCTTCAAAACGAACGGTAACAACGAATTCCGGGTGTACAACAGGATTCACTACCTCAATCACAACATCACGGATATGCGATACAACCCACATCCAGCCAACGTTAAAATGATCAAAGCCCAACCCGCCTTCAGGGAACCCAAGAAGACCGTATGTATATTATAAGGGTGTATGATTAGATGGGTGTATGAATTATAGACATGATTAATCAAACATTATAAATGTTTGCTTAATCGTCATCTAGATCTAGTGGGATACCCTTAATCGTACTCGCATCGAAGAGAGTGTAATAACATATTCACAACTTTATCCTTATCTCAGCTGTATCTCGACAACGAATGGGACTACGATCACAAAAAGACGAACTTGTCCGACCTGCCGCATTTTGTCCCGAAATTCTACGAACAGCACCTTTCGGAAGCGAACCAAACGAGAACCATCAGGATCCTTTTCAATGAGAACCGTAACGCGACGAGTCCAGTCGTCAAGTTCAATTTGGCCAGTCTCGTAGTTGGGGAAAACGTCTCAGATGCTGACTTGTACTTTTACTGGCCTTTGGAGAACACGTCGAGTGTTTTTAAGACTTCGGTCGTTCTGAAATTGTACCAAATTGAACACCAGCTGAGTAACGACCTTAACGAGACCGCCGTGTGGGACAATCCTGACCTCCACAAGCTTTTCAACATCATCTACGTGTCCAAGGCGCACAAAGGCTGGCAGGTATGGATTTGGACATGTCAAATTTTAAAAAAATCTTTTGAGTTTTAATTAGTTTTTTTAGATATGTTTAACTATGATTTTTTATTTCTTGTATTGTTTGTTCCCACTTGTATTAATTTAGATGATCATAAACATGTTTTTGTCCTATTGTCGTTCAGAGAGAACCTACAATATATCAGCTAAATGCCAGTACCGTGTCATGTCCATTTCTAATAGTATATTATGCAACAACTGTTGTAGAGGGCATTTGAGTCACAAGTTTATTTCACACGAGCGGAGCGAGTGTTTAATAAACGAGTGTCTTAAAAAGTTTTCCGAACAAATACTATACTTTTTCTACGACCATTTGTTTTAGGGTAAATTTTCGCAAAACAACACAAATACATTCACTGACGTGACCGTCGGAACTGACAAACGTCAAAATTCAAGGCGTGAGAAATATCCCCGAAAAATTGCTTCCAAACTCATTATCATCATCAGATTAAAATGATAACAGCACTATAGTTTAAATCAATAATCTACATTAATATGAATAATCATTATGAAGGAAATACACAATTCTTCTATAAAACTACAGGGAAAACCACTTGAAAAAAACACGACTATCTTATTCCTAATTATTATTATGGCTCGATAAATGTTCACAAATATGCCCTTCTACTTGGATACACATGCTTAGTCGGTGTTATTCTCCAGCGTGCGTCACAAATCATATTTTCCATATCTTCTGATGTTGTAGGGAGATTCACATAAACACAGTCTTTAACAATCCCCACAAAAAGAAATCTAGTGATCTTAAGTCACATGATCGTGGGGCGAACAAGTTGAGGTCAATCGTTCTGCAAAAAGTTAAATAATAAGTTAAGTGGTTCGCAAAAAAATATGGTCCAATAACTTTAAAGTGCTTTATTCCGCACCACACATTAAATGAATAATGGTTTTCGTTTTGCACTTCCGGTAAGCATAAATCGATTCCTTGCTACGGTACATCTTAGCTTACTGTTGTATCACAGTAAACAATCCAACAATGTTAACGCTCTGCGCTACAGCAAAGATTATCTCTGATCCATAGACAGTAATAGATAAAACGGTCGTAAGGAAATTCTAGTATATTTTTAAGGTCTAGTAGTTGATGCTTTGTATTACATAATAAAGGAATACTAAGAAATATATTTGAAAACACAATATTCAGATTTTGAACAGCTTTTTCTATTTATCAAAAAGGTAACATTTTTAATTTGACTATTATTTTTCAAAATTTCCTTCTTAGAGACCATACGTAGTAAAAAACAAAAACAAAAAATTGTTGCTTGCAGACATCTGGGTCTTCTTTTCTGCGAAATGGACTCGTGCTTCGATGGTCTGCCTACTTATTTGACTTTTTCAGCAGCAGGTGTTTCTGTACATTTGAATGCTTTTGTCAATTTTATAACAGTGTTTGTCATATCAACTGAATGACTAATAATGATTCGCTAGAATTGCTGTTATAATCCAGCTACTGCAGTTGAAGGTTCCTCATCATTTAGGTTACTACCGCAATTGCATATGCCGTCTAAGTTTTCATCAAATTTTCATCGGGTTGCATTGGTAGCATTAAAAAGCATTAATCGCATCAAACAGATTGTCAGTATAAGTCTATTAATGTACTTCGCCAACGTTGTTTTTCCGCTTCACCCAGTCTATAAATCATATTATTGGGTCGTTAGGAAAGTCATTTCGTTTTTTTTTGGGAACATGAAAGACAGTTTTCGTATAATGAATAAATATTTTATTAAATTATATATTGGTCATTCTGGTCCAACACCTTTTGCCATCTTTCTGGTAGTAACATAATTCCCCTCTCATAAAAGTTTTGGTCCTTGCTGGCAAAAAACTGGTTCAGGTGGTTTTTGACATCTTCATTTGAGGTAAAGGTTTTGCCATCCAAAAAATTTTGCAGGGACCGGAACAAATAGTAGTCGGAAGGCGCCAGATCTGGAGAATATGGTGGATGTTGCAGTACGTCCCATTCAAGCTGTAAAAGTTTTTGGCGAGTGACCAAACTTGTGTGAGGTCTCGCATTATCCTGGTGGAACACTACACCCTTCCTGTTGATTAATTCGGGCCTCTTCTCTTTAAGTGAATAATTCAATTTGTCAAGTTGATGACAATAGACTTCTGAATTAATCGTTGTATTGTCCGGCAAAAGCTCAAAAAAAAAACGATTCCTTTGACATCCCAACAAACGGAGAGCATCACCTTTTTTTGGTGAATGTTGGCTTTTGACACGCTTTGAGCCGGTTCCTTTTCTGCTCCATGACCTCTTGCGTTTAACATTGTTGTATACAACCCATTTTTCGTCCCCAGTAATAATCCGCTTCAAAAATGCGACGACACAAATTTCGCTCCGTAAGGACATGGGGCACCCACACATCGAGCTTCGAGGTTAAGCCCATGCCTTTCAAATGGCCATAAACAGTCGAATTCGACAAATTTAATCTCTCACCGATCTCTCGTGTGGTTATTCGCCGATTTGCATCAACTAATGCCTTTATCGCATCTTTGTCAGCTTCGACCGGCCTTCCAGACCGTGGTGCATCTTCGACATCAAAATTGCCGGATCGAAATTTTGCAAACCAGTTCTGGCACTGGCGTACTGTTAACACGCCTTCTCCATACACATCCGTCAATTTTTTTCTCGCTTGGACAGCATTTTTACCTTTTCTGAAGTAAAAAAGTAAAATATGACGAAAATGCTGCTTATTGCCCTCCATATTTAAAAGGGCACCAACCAAAAACTACTGCGTAGAATTAATAGAACTTTTTCACACACAAGCCTTGCAATATCAGCTCTCAAGACATATAATGGTTATGCGGCTTAAGTGTGAAGTTGGTTTCGAAAAAACGTAATTAAGTCCTCTGACGGGAAAAAACGAAATGACTTTCCGAACAACCTTATAATTAATCCAGATTTTTTTCCCGGTCTAAAAGTTCTTGCTGTAGTTTCATATGGAAGGGATGATAAGCTAGCTTAATAGTTACTGAGCTACGGATTATCTACAAATAAAAGTTAAATTTAGAATTTTTTCCTCAATGGTAGCATTCCAGTACTAACACTAGCATCAAATAATCCCATCAAACAGATTGTCAGTAAAAGTCTATTAATGTACTTCACCTTGTAAACAGTCTTACTGGCAAAGTAGTTTTTCCGCTTCACCCAGTCTATAAATCATATCAATTAATCCATACACAGTTTTTTTTTTATTTACTGACACACAATAAATTTTATGAATTTATTTACTCAGTAGTCAAGACAATGTAATTTTGTCATTGCAAACTATTGTTGAGACAAAAAAAAATTGGTATACGACATATTTAATAATAAGTTGTAGGTTTTTGTAATCTCTAATCTGTAATTGTAATCTGTAATCTGTAAATAGAGATTTTTAAATTTAAAATTATCCAAATATATTCGTTTATTGTGAATTTTCTGCAGCATCTAATTCAAATTCCGTTGTATATATTTTTTACGTCATCTTTGCATTAAGCTAATAAAACATGAGTGATATACCTGTAAAAATAATGGAAAATGCAAGCAATGGAAAAATATTGGAAAAACTACTAGGCTTAGGTATGTACTATTTTTTATAAAAAAAGGTTGAAAAATTTACAAAATAATTTAAAACAAAATTTAAAAATAAGATGTTCCATGTTTTAGTCGTCGCGCTTTTTTTAGCCACCCTGTATATTTATATAATTTTAAATTGCACATCCTAACAATCTTTACACCTTTTTCAATTACCATTTTCGCATAACTTTTAAAACCAATGAGATAATGAAGTTTACTCTATCGTTGACTCACGCTGTACACTACATCACAGGCAATGCAGAAAATCGATAGTGATGTTTGGCACCTTATTTTAGTGTGTTTGTTCTTCTTTAATTTGTGAATAATTATTGTTGTTGCAGTCAGTCGGGCCACTCTATGAAACTTTTTTTATATTTTTGCCCATTTGTCAAAAACGAGTGCACCAAAGTGTAAAGTGTAATTACACCATTGTAATCGGAATCAGATAGTCTGTTATTAAATGCATATAGAATATAGAGGGTGCCACATTTTAAAAAAATATGATGTAGGCTTATATGTGAGAAAATTGATAGTTTTGTTTTATACGCCACTTCGAAAAAAAATTGGCTACTTACCCGACATTTTCTTTTTTTTTTACCTTGATATCTCTAAAAAGAAATAAGTTACAGCCAATTAAAATGTTATTGGGATAATTTGAACGCACGGTACCTAAGGTAGCTGTCGGAATTTTTCTTATTTAATTTCTATGTTTATGTCTAAATTGACAGGAGCGTTTGGTGAATGTTGTAGACGCCGAGGAATATAATATATACAACTATATTTACGTTTTCCTAAAAATAATCATTAAATTAAAAAAAAAAAACAACCCAAAATCAGCAGCTTAAAGTATTCGCTTCTTTAGACGTTCAAAATCAAGAAACCCATCGATAACTGGCTCAATGGGGAGGTTAACCTTGGTCTTCTACTGACGATATCGAGCTACGACGACAACCAGCTCGTTTCAGTTTTCAACGACACGAACGCGGGCATCTTCAGGACATTCGCGGTGGTAAAAATGACGCCGGAAAATGGTAAGCAATTCAGCGATTTTGTAGGCCGTTTTTCCCAAAATAAACTGCGTCCGGACGAAAAATTTTTAGGAGTTTTCATGGAACATTCAAACAATAGTAGGTACAATTTTTTAATTTCTTGTTGATTTATTTTAAATATGGTGAAGGTATCGTCACATATTATTCTTCTATATTATTATTATTATTATTGTTATTTATAATCATCAGTAAATTTACATAATTGTATAAGAAAAAATATTATTCAATTAACAAACACAATGCTAAAAATACATGTGGAGAAAATTTATTGTAACAACATTACTGTGAAAAAAACCACGTGCATTTTGTGTTTGGAATATTGCATTTAATAAGGTATTTTATCACTTTTCAATAATTTATTTTTCGGCTAATGTATTTAATCATAAATTAAATAAAAGGGGGTGCGATTTTAGTTGTCTCGGGGATAGCACAGGGTTTTCGGAACTAAAGATGCCGTTAGCAACATTTTCATTGAACCATTTGGAGGGGTGTCAACTGCTCGAGAATATTGTTAATATTATTGTTAAATTGTTAATATTGTTAACGGCATCTTTAGTTTTACGAAACAGTGGCACACTGTCTTTATCCACAAAAATAACACCAAAGTCACCAAAACGGGATACCCTATAGTTGCTGCAGCGTTCTTGTTTTTATTGTAGGTCGGGGTTTTTGGAATACACCGGCTATGAGAAAGATACATTTTTTTTTGCAGTAATGTAAACAAACACTGGTCTGCAATATTTGCAACAACAAAATTTTCGAAAGAAATTGCTACAAAATCTATTTAATAAAATCAGTCGAAACGTTAGCTGTTCTAAAGGAATTTTTCGTATATATTTGCAATTGATATATTTTAAGGAATACTTATCCCACTCCAGTACTTAACAGTAACCAATACTAATATACAATACTAATACCAAGAAAGAAGGCACTTTGACATGAAAAGAAGTATGCAACAAAGCTCCATGATTTTTTTTCTCTAGGATCCTTTCTGTACCTAAATAATCATTAGTGAGTATTATTGAGAAGTAATTAGAGCATACATGTACCATTCCATAATTCGAAATAACCCTCAAAAGATCCCGCTCTATATTTTTTGATGGTTTCTCACTAGAGAGCTAGAGTAACATAGGCACCAGTCCAGTAGTCCTGCAAACGAACTCAAATTGTCATAACAAACAGACCGAAAATATTGTTGAAACAAAAATTTGACTAACACAAGCCTGCAAAGAACAACACAGCACATTCAGGACCGAACTGTTTAAAAAGGTAACTAACCAAAACTAGTAGGTTTAGTATGCGGACCAGCGTTAATAGATTGAGCCTTCTAAGACCTTCCCGACATGACTCACTGTATTTCAGATCTGATCCAATCATGCTTAATCATGCCTAATGAGTCAAATTGATCACAAAGTAAATTTTTGTCTACACTGTCTCAAGCGTGCAAAAACAAAAACAATTGATCTATCGTTTGTCGATTTTATCCTATAAGTATTAAGCTAACCGATGCTCTTTCACTAGAAAATTTACTACTAAAACTATGTTGACGTCTTGAGAATTTTGAAAATACATAAATAAGATGGGTCTATAGCTTTGAATCTTATGCCTTTAGAAAGTGATGTGTTAAACAGTACCGATAAATAATTTGCTATCATAAAACAGATTTTTCCAATTAATCCACCAAGGCCAACAGTGGGTATCACTGGGTAAATAAAAATGGATTTATTCCCTGGGTTTCTCTTGTGGGTATGACAAATATGACAATAGTTTAGTTTCGATGACTGATTGTCAGTAGGTATCAAACACAGCTATTTCATCGGGCTTCTCCCCTTTTAGGATATTGAAGCTAATAGAATCTACCTTGTTAACATATTTTGATTTTCCTCTAATCCGATTAACAATATCCCAAGTGGTTTTGGCTTTGTTTGATGACCTATTAATAAATCTGTGTTCCTTTTACTCTTAGGATGTTTTGGACTTACCAAACTAACGGCAATTCGGGAAAATAACACTGTCGCTTCTGTAAAGCATTTATTTTGAGTTTCAGGCGAAGGCGACGCTCCTGACGGCAAAAAGTCACGACTGTCTGGACTGAACGACCGACAGCCCTCTGCGGACGGCGGCACGTGCACCAGACGAGACTGGTACGTCGATTTCGATCAACTGCGATGGAACGACTTCATCATCCGACCGCTAAAAGGTTTCAACGCATACGAGTGCGTCGGCAAATGCGACCTGGATGATCCCCACGCGTCAAACCACGTCAGGTTGCGCGCGACGTCGCGCAGCAAGAGTTGCTGCGCGGTTGCCGCGCTATCGGCGGTGCCGATCATGTTTTACGACCGACACGGCAACGTCGCGATGAAAAACTACGCCGGCGCCGTCGCCGAAGAGTGCTCCTGTAGATAATCGCCGTCGTTAATAAAGCTTATATTCAAATGTTTCTCGTTTTTTCATGAAAAACTGGCTTTGTGGGGGGGGGGGTCTGAGGGGGGCGGCGGAGGGTTGGAAGTGGGGCGCGTGTCGCGCTGATATTGCTTTCCCGATTGACACGGATCCCTGGGCACCCCAAGACCGAGGTGTAACCGTGTGGAAATCATCGTCGGCGATAAGTCATCCCGTGACTTCATCATCGCCGGCTAATAAACACCCGGGCAACTCTACCCCCGCCCCCGCGCCGTTTAAATCTCGTTTCTTCGGTCCCTTTTTTTGATTCGCTCATTGTTTAATAGACGGGTATCGCGAGGGGTGGTGGTGCGAGAGCGTTGGTCAGAGGGGAAGAGGGTGTAATGAACGTCATAGCGTGTCTTATTATTTTTTATTTTTTAAATACCTCGCCGCTAAAATGCAAGCATTAAAAATAGCGTGTGCATGAATACTATAATTTTTTTACGGTACATTTTTACTAAATAACATGAATACATTCACTGAGTAACTAATGACGTGACCGCCAAAATTGACAAAAGGTCAAAATACCGTGGATAAAATCTACAGAAAATATTCATTCGCTTCCAAACCCGTGACTAAAATACCGAAACCGTCCGCATTGGCTCCCGACTGTGGGTAAGAACTACTACAATACTCCAAACGATATACCTTTTTTACGACATAATCCTGTATTTAACTTTGGTAATAAAGGTCTAACCGCGTTTGGGTTTCTCTTTGTAGCCCTCAATAAATAGATCCGCAATTCCACAATGACGTTCCAGATACGTACTTCGGTGGGTGAGTTTGATAGATCAACCACAGGTGCGGATCAGGAAAAAAAACTCTTTATCTGACTACGCCGAGCCTTCGAAAATTCTTTATTTTCTTTTTCAAGGCTAAAACGGAGTAATACATATATATTTAGTGAACGCGTATTCTTTTGCAACCCTGTTATTATTAGCAAGTACATTTACCTGGGTACAAGTTGAGTTAGAAAAGTCGTTAGCTTTTTCGAAATTTGGCACATTACAATAATATTGGGTGAGAGTTTTTATTTACATTTTATTACATTGCCAAGGACGAACAGTTCGAGCTGGGGCTTCGTCCCTTTCTTTCGTGAGTCGATTAGCAGCACGCGTTTTTCGCACATGCGGTGGTCTTTATTTTAAGGTTACATTATGATTTTCCCACTTGATCTTATATCGACATCCTTTTTCACGGTTTAGTTAGTGGCAACATCTATGTTTTGGTAGCAAAAATCACTTATAATTAAGATAGTCGGTGATAGGTACCGCTAGTATCGCTCCTCACAGTAATTTGTTTTGAAAGGAATTTTAGTTTTATATAACAAAATAAAATGAATGTTTTTTCTCCGCAGATGGCGGTGAGCGTGGCACGACGAAATTGAAGATTTGAATTTACGCGAGACAGCACTTGACAATTTACAGTTATTATTTATTATTATTTTTATTTTAAAAAACATCTGATATTTCCAACGAACACCCATTGCCACGAGGCTACCATTGTTTCAAAGTTCCCTGGTGTGCACATGAGAATTTGTTGTGATGGTTTGCAGATCGTAAGCGGATGTTATTGGTTTGTGATGCGCGCTGATTTAATTGGTTTAAAATGAGATGGATGAGATTGACGCGTTGTTGTTTCCTCTGTCGAAGGAAATGACGTGAGCGTAAATCGCGAGTTCGTTAATATCCTTTTCCAGGAACAGTCTTTTTTTGTAATTCTCTGTACATACTCTGGCCACTTCGTTGTAGTAGGGGGTATGTCCAGTGTCCTGATGGTGTTCCACGAGGGCGCACGATCGTTTACTTAATCTGCAATCGCTTTTGTGTTAAGTTAATCTATCCTTCAGGACTCTGGACGTTTTCCCCGTGTATATCAGATCGCAGTTGTTACACGGTATCTTATATACAAGGTGTGATTGTTTGGTTATGGGGTCACTGTCATTGTTTTGTAAACAATCTCCCTACTGTTTTTGTGCATTTTTGAAAGATTTTTACTTCGGGTTCATTTTTCAACATCTCATTGTCCTCTCTATTTTCTTTCACGTCTGTCTGATTTTTGTTTTGGGAGAGAAGTTTGATAAATGCGTTCTTTTTCAATTCGGTATGCAGACCCGTGCATTTCTGGACGAATCCGTCCGATTTTTTTTCTTAAATAACTCTTTCTGCACGTACTTCGTTTTACAATTTGTTATTTACTTGGCTGTCGTTCGTCCGGTTTGTTTCCCTACTTTATTACATGTCTTTCCTTTTTAGTCGCTACTTCAAATTATAACCAAGGAAAAAGGTAACAATAATAATTATAGAGGTAGAGATAATAATAAACATCAAAACAAGAGACTTAGGAAGGTGATTTTTTATTCACAATAAGCAAAAGAAAGAGAGCATAATGACTAACATTGCGAAGGATTTAAGAGAATTTGCTTGCGTATTCTATAGCGTACTCCAACAGACGCATCTCGCTCAGCCTCATCTGAACCGCCAACCTCATGTGGGGCGATATTTCCTTACCCCCCAAGGAAACATTGTCCTGCGACAGACTCTTTTTGCAGGCAGCCAGCAACAGCTTCAATCTTGTCTCCAAGTACGCCCAGCACTTCTTTCTCAATTCGGCGTCCTCTGTATCGACTACGTCAGCGTCAAGGGAGGCGTCTAGACGCTCTGAAATTGAATGACAGCCATTTTGAAACCTTCCGACCGAACCCACGAAGGACCTTCCATCGTACAAATGCATATAGCTACCTAGAGATATAGAGGAGCTGCCGATAAAATAGGAATTTCCGAAGCAACTATGAAAAATTTTTTGAGAAGATCCATTCAACATACGCATGCGGCGAGATTTAAAATCTCGTTTTTAACCAATGACTTTGTGGTATTGAACGACCAACATGGCCGCTGACAGACCGTCATTAAGTTAGGATGCGCCATTTTTGCGGTAGTATTTTCCCAAAATATGCCTAAATCCCGTCAAATGCCGCCTGCGACGCATCAAGTTTTATCAAAGTAAGGCACTATATTATCTAATAGCCAACTGTGCAAATGTGCGGGATCGCTGCTTTTGTTTCACTTCTTTTTTACGATTATTTCAGAAAACGCCACCTGGTGACAAAGTAAGTAATTGTTCATAGCTTTTTGAATGACTCGTCAGAGATAGAGCAAAAAGATTTAAATTTAATTCTGCTTTGAAATATGTTTAATATAATTTCCTATAACTAAGCAAAGTCCTCGCTACCTTCACTCATCTTAAAAACCGCTAAGAACTTCATCAGCGTGTCGTCTACTGGCGGTTCGTTCCACCTGAGCAAAAATTCCGTCCCTTCTGGGATCTCTAGCTTGCTTAGCAGTCTCTTGCGTTTATCTCGGAGAGGGTCGTTTTTGCTCACGCCCAGATTCAGCCGGTAGGTGTCGTACTGGTTTCCATCGTAGACGAAACTGCAAGATTTCGCATTGTGGTTGTGACGGGGCGGTGGGGTAAAAGGGTGACTTGCCCATTGTGGACGAACATTTCTGCGTTGCTCCTAGGGCCGTAAAATATAAAAATCTGTTCGCCAGCCTTAAAGTCCCTGAGTGCTAAGCACTCGCATCGCTTCATCTCAGGGTTGTAGTCTGTAGTGATCTAAACCGATAGAAACTTGTATAGGGGATAAAGGAGATAAATGAAAACAGATATCGCAAACGGTAAAAACCGCACATAGATGTCTGTCATTGTTCTAACTTTTTTGTGTTTGTTTGAACAGATATGAAAGTTTGTTTTATAAAATCAGTTGCACGGACTTAGATGTCCAAAATAGTCCAACATGAAAGTTAAAGATAGCAACCAGACTGAAAAGAATCAACTTCAGATGAACCATAACAGAAAAGGACTTTGAATGCTGTATGGATTTTTGGCAAGGGATTTTATTTGAAAGGTTAAATTAAAACCTGGAGTCTTCACAGCCAAAATCACAATTTGGCAATAGTATTTGTTTTCTGTCCAGACATTACTTGTTGAAAATTCACAACATTTATTCTATCGAGAAACACAGTAGCAAAATATCAAGGACGCTTACATTCTTGGACAGGCAACTTTAAGTTATTATCGACGATTCAAAAATACGCATGGTTTTACCTAAAAAAATCAAATTTTCAAGCCGTTAAATTCTTCGTAAAAATGAGTTTTGGAAATGTTTTCATCCATTCATCACGATTTTTATTAAAAAATTTAATCCCAGACACCGACATCAGTTTTACGCTGGTTCCTTTTTAATGTGGCGCACTCTGCGCCACGAACACGAACAATAACTAAAGACGAGACGACGGGTGACAAAAAACTGCCTTCAGATGTTTTACCTGCTTTTTGGTAGGTGTTTAAAGTGGTCTCTGTAAACGAAGCATATGTCACCAAATAACTGCCTCACGGCCGACCGTGCAAAAGCAGGTACGACTTGGATAACCGGCTTCAGCACCGCCACAGTTACAATTTATGATCCACTGAGTATGGCTGCAGCAGTAGCAGCTGAAAGCTATGATGTAAAAACCAATTGACCAAGGCCCCAAAAGCCCGAAAAATCGCACTGCTTATATATCACCAAAACGTAGGCACATACCTCTTGTAAAATGGATTTTCATAACAGCGCAGGACGTCGCGTCAACTCATATACTTCTTTAAGAGGATTTTTTTTCACATCACTCACACCGAGGTTGAAATACAGAAAGAATTCGTACAACAGCTGGCAAGATTTAAAAAACGCATATTTTAAAATTAGATTACAAATTTAGTTTTCTCTATATTTAAATTCAATTATCTCACGTATGCCTCCCGAATGCGATCTCCAATCTAGGTTTAGGATAATTACAAAAGTATCAATTTTCGGCTAACCATATTTCAACCAGAGTTAAGAACTGTTACAACATAGCAACAACTTACAATTCCCGCAGTATGATTGCACAGGTCCCACAAAGGTATGAGGGCGTTTGTCGTCTTCGAACCATCTTCCGTAGGTATCATATTCTGCCTCGTCATTACGGTCGACACTGCCCAGCTGGAAATGACTACACTAATAAGACACGGCTTATTATACAGACCGTTTTAAATTGGAAAAATGCATTCCACTGTATTCATTCAAAGCAAAAATAAATGCACGCAACACACTAAGATGATTGTAGGTTTCTTCTGCATCGGGCATGAATTTGTCTTGCATCATGTTATAAAGAACAAATCTAATGGAGCAGCAAAGGTCTTGTTGTGGTGTGATTTTCAGAAAATTCGGGATGACTTCGTGATCTCTACATTGAGATAACAAGAAAATCTTCTAGTTTTAGATTTGTGCACTGGATGTCATCGCCACGTAATTTTTCAAAGAAACTTCCGCAAGCTGTAGAACTTATAGGTAAACTCATTCTGGATTTCTCCTGCGTCATGTATTGACACTGTTTCGCTGACATTTTACCGAACATGGTGGTGGCTTCTTCAGATTGGTCAAACATCAGCAAGACAGAGAACACACAAAAAGTCCAGAACCCCCATAAGTTACTTCGAAAAACTAAATCATTAGAAATTTTCAAAAATGGTATTTAAGTTAAGATACCTGTTCGATATTATTTTCTAAAAACATAATCTAGTAGCCTGGTTCAAGCTTCAAAGTTAACTACGATATTTACTAGTCAAATAAGAGCATAGACAGTCTTCTTAAATATTTGCGTCATTGAACAATTCAAGAAGAAGCGTTAAACGTGACGAGAATCAATATAATTTAAACGATTAAAGAAATTAACGCGGTTTCAAGTGAAAGTGCCAATTTAACAAGTACCTTGTTTATCTAAACAGATATACGGGGTTGTTCGCCATTTAATACAACATTTTATGTATAAATTATTTCACACATCAACAGAAACCAGGCAACAGCGCACTACGAGTATTAATGTTACTTTGACAGTGGCACGTAATGGGAGCGAGTAATTTTTTCATTAAATGTTCTCACTTTCACTCGTTAAAAATATTTACGTATTCCTGCTTGTTGCCGTCGTTGAGGTAAAACATATTTTATTGACTTAACTTGAATCTCAAGTTTTAAAATATAGAATCATGAATACATATTTTCAGTATTTCACATTATCATCGAGAATATTTCACTACGACTTTGAGTATAGCGCAGACAAAAACTTCCTAGAAGTATTAAAAAAAATGGCAAATCTTGTCCTAAAATTGGAATAAATAATCAACAAAATTTTAGAGACGCGCAAGGGGACATTTACGTTTCATTGTGTTGCACTATTCGTATCGAGGCGGAAATATTTGGAGCGCAAAATTATAGAAAGAAAACTTGCTACAAAAAAGTATTTAACTATCTTAAAAATAAAAGAATTTAAGAAGAATGACAAGTCACTCGAACAATCATAATCAATAAAACCGCAAAACGAGAGATACAGAAACTGCTATCTATCATGGATGTTATTTCATAACAAGATAACACTTGGACATCAAAAGACGTATGCAAAAAAGTGAACAGGACTCATTAGAATTAGACCAATATATGTGGGTCGCAGGACCTTAACCGATTCATTAAAGCAGTTTTTTATATATATTAAAAAGCGTCTTCGTTTCTCCGAAAGCGCTGAAAAACCACCAAGAATAAATTATGGGTTTTACTTTAATAAGACAGAATTTCTGAAAAATAAGTCAGAATTTCTAACATAAGAATATCGAAAGGAACAGTGCCAATTGAAAACATAAACTAGGTTTTTTAAACTATAACCTATATTTTCAACGCTTTGGTACACTTTTTTCTCACACATTGTTGACACATTTTTGGGGTTGGATTTAGTTAAGTGTGCATTAGGCACCATTTTTAAATATTAACTGGAATAGTTTAGGAAGCATTTTAATGGTCTAGCAAAGGAAAAATCTCCTCTAGCCTAAATCTCAGTGGAAAAAGCCCTTTATCCTGTAAACTTTTATGTAGCCCTAAAACGAGAGAACAGATGACACCGGTACGGAAAAGAAAGTGCCCCCGTAGAGAGCGACGGGTTGATTAAAAACCAATGCATCTCTTTTTGAATAAATCGATCCCTATATACAGTGAAAGTTTTGAATATCGACGGCCGGGCGCGAGCTGCGGAAGTCGTCTTCTTCGCATCTGCCCATATATCGACTCGTTTCACGTCGCTCGCCGACCGAGATGCAAAGTCGATTTCGCGCGTCAACACGGATTTCTTTTCTCGACGCGCGTCCCGCGACGATGACCTTGGGAAAGTCGCGTCCAAATTTACAATCGGAATTAGTAAAAAAAAAGCGAATGTTGCGTTTCAACGGTCCCACAATATACTTTCTCCTAAAGTGAAGTTCACGCGCGGCCTTTTGTTTTTCCACCGAGCACGCCATACGAATTATTTCTACCTGGCAAAACAATCTCGATACTCGTCGCATGTCCGAATCCGAATGACGCTGCATACAAATCGATAGGGTTCGGGTCCTAAACGTAACGATCATATATCAACTATAACGACTCGCCCGTTTATTGGCTTTAAAAAAATCAAAAACATTGGTTTGTATTTACGTAGACAAGTAACAATGTATGTATATTAAGGCATTCTTAAATAAAACAAACGAGCATTACAGGAATGCTCCATTTCCGATGGCTGTGAGTTTGGAAATCAATGCCTGACAGATTTATGACATCTAACTTATCATTTTTTACGGTTATTGTTACTTTAGTACAAAAATTACAATAATGCAGAAAATACTATTAGCAAATGGAACAAATGAAAAAGATAATTTACTGTTACATTAATTGCCCAACTAACGGTCCCCAAATTTTCAAATTCTTCTATTATTTTTTTCAAATGTTTCAAATATAATAATATAACACCGTTATAGAACAATATACCGGGTTAGTAAAAAGTATCGGAACGCTTAAATACTTCCAAAACTGCCAAAGCTGGAACGATAAAAAATACCTGGGGGTTTTTACACATACAAAATTCAAATATGAAAACAGCAATATTGTTAGATTTGTCATTTCCACGTTGCACGTCATAATTTTCTTGCTCTATTTACTTTTGTTTGTTTTGTTTTGTTTCTATCGCTTAGTGAGCTACGGCAGTAAAAAGTATCGGAACCAGGGCTGGGCTGATTTTAATTTTGTTTTTTTTTAATTTGAAATCATAACTTAAATCAAACTCCTATTTTTTGTTATCTTTTTTTTTATTGAGACCAACACAAAAAGCACAACGTAAAAATATTTTCAACAATAAAAAGTAAACACAACTCTTTTCAAAAATTAGTTAAATAACATAATAACGTACACTTTATGCTTCTGCATTTTCGTTGTATAGTTTGAACAAAAATACTAATTTTCCCCCTTTTTCTATCCCAATCCTATTCCTTATGCCTGAGTGTACACAACCAAAAGTGATGCTAGTGAGGAAGCAGATGCACACAGGCACAGTTTGATTATTGGTTCAACTTTTACTAATTACTAATGGCAAAAGTCCAGTGTTTCCATATAAATTATTTATTGTTTCTAAAGGCAGATTATTTTGTTCTTGTGTTTACTCATATTTTTGCTTTTGAGGGTTCAACATATCGGCTATAAAACGATATGGCGTATTTTTGATAAAGGTAATTCTACAACATTCAAGAAAATATATTGTAACTGTTTCCACTGCTGCACAGCATCTGAGATAGTAGCGTTTTCCTCTGCAAAATATCAAGAGCCACCGATATTGCTCTTAAAATGCTTAAATATTCTGGGTGCTGTATGTTTATGTCCAATATTTCACACCTTTTGGTAGATGGTCGAATCAATTTGGTTTTTGTTTTCTTCACAGATTTTTCATAATATATTCCACTGAGTGACGTACACCATTAGACCAATCAGCAACGTATCACACATCACTTGGAAAGCTTTGTATTGACTGAATTTCGCTTTAGCTAGATGATTATCGCGAAAATACTTAACGATTTGTTCTGACAGAGAAGAAAAACGTTTTGCCTTTTCCTCCTCACAGATGTCATCTATAGGGCTTGTTGATAATATTTTTCTTGGTGGCGGCTTATAGCCAGGTCATAATAAGTGAATAGCTTTTTTTACTTCAGAGTTTTCAATGCATCGAAAACTCGAACTAGTAGCAAAAATTTTAATTTTAATTTTATCGTTCCAGCTGTGGCAGAGTTTTGGAGATATTTAAGCGTACTGGTACTTTTTACTGAAGAAGCGGTGTTGCCGTAGCTCAGTAATTAATAAAAACAGAATTTTAAAACAAGCCCTTGCGAAAATTGTAAATGCATAATTAATTGCAACAAAAATAAATAGGGCATTAAAATAAGAAAGTTATTTGCCTACGAAAATACATGCATCCTGTAGATATAACAAAATAACATCGTAAAAGCATACATGAATTCAAAAACTTTTTTTGTGTTTAAGTTTTTCTTTATGTTGTACAGGTTCTGAGATAAGGTGTGATAAAACATAAAACACAAAAATGCATTTCAAACGAACATTCATTTATTTAAACGCTGGGTTAATTTTTAAGGCAACATTAATAAAATTAGTTTTTAATCTAATTATGAGGAAATGCTGCTTTTTATTTTAACAGTTAGTTTTTCGGTCAATTCGGTTTCGCGGCATTCGGGTGACATGGAATAACATTACACTCATTATAAAAGAAAATAATTACGAAAAATAAAATATTGATTCCGACAGTGGGGAAAGTGCCGCCGGAAAATAAATTATTCTCTTTTAATCTAAACGAAAAATGTGAAATACTACTTTTATTATCAGCGACGCTTCAAAAGCTTGCACATAATACCTCGTTGTTCCTTTGTATTGCCTATAATTGCCACGCATTTCCATAAATTGCCTAATATTTTCCCGTACTCGCAGCCTCGCAATTTCGCGTACTACTTTATACTTTAAATGGTCACACACAACTCCGACAATCTTACGATTTGACCTATACTACCCTCAAACAAATATCTCATACTGATTCCTATGTCCACCGAATTACCCAAATAATTTAGTCTGTACTGCCTGGATACGAGACAGCGTACTGCCTAGCAGTTTTGCCTAATTCATATAGTCCAATATTGGTCCGATTTAACCCATACTGCCCCTAACGAATACCCCCTACTGTCTCGTATGTCCCGCGTATTACCACTACAATTTAACCCGTACTGCCTTGTCATGAGACCCCATTCTGGCTCGCAGTTTTGCATTCTAAGAAAAACTACCCAATTATTTAGCCCATACTGCCACGAAACAAATAAATTTTATTATTATATTATACGCGCAGTAAACAAAATGTTACGAAACGCGGCCAATTTTTTCAATGCGCCCACCGAAGAAAGCGGCGTGTGCTGGACAGCGACCGCTCCCGCGTTTTGATCATTTAGAAAGAGACATTAACCGTATGGTACCAAGCCGATTTCTTGTCAGAAGTGCGCCAACACGCGTACGCACGGTACCGTTGAACGGTCGTACCGCGATGAAGTGGTCGAGTATACTCGTGATGCTTGTGTTTGGGGTAGCTTTTGGGTCTCGCGCCATCCCCGACGACATCGGCGGCGGGGGCGCGGTCACGGAGGCGCCCTCTCGTTCGGTCAAAGTAAGCGAGACGTTTAATCGACCATATACAGGGTGTCGGAGTGTTGCGAAGCGAAACTGCGTGAAGAATAAAAGAATACATCCAGTGGGGTGATTTTTTCCGTTTCGACAAACGTTTAAAATATATTTCTATAATTACGGCCCTAATTATTTTTATTAAGCTTTTATCTCTTTTAACTTTTGGTAACATCTACCCCGACACGTTTGGATATGTCGATTGGTATTATAAATTGTACCCTTTTTGATAGACGAAAATTTTATACAGTGTGTCCCAAATTTGAGATACGCCGGCATATCATATCAAATGCTTCCTTAATTTAACTGAAAATAACAAAAGTATAAATGTGCAGATTTTAAAAAGGACAAAATTGTCAGTTCCGCCACGTTGGACTTTTTTTAAAAGGAAAAGAAACAATAGCAAACATAAATTAATTGACTTCTTTTGAGCAATTAAAAGAAACTTAAGATATTTTGAAATTTCTTGATTAATCTCCAATATTTGAAACATTGTGTAGAGCGTCGACTAACAGTTTTGGTTAGTTACTTAGACTTAAGCAGTTTAACCGTGCATCGGCAACACGTCTGTAAAAAATCATGCATGACAAATCAAATCACGCACAATATTTTTCAAAAGACCTTCAATTCATATATTTTTTACAAAATGACAAATGTTGAACAAACTATTAAACAGCCAACGGCTTAAACTATTACTAAATCTGGGCATATAGTGGCCGGGAGGACGAAAAAATTGGATCGCCTCAGACGTCAATATTTTTCGAAGAGAAATAAATGATCTTCCGCACATGCCCCTAAATTTTGCACACATGTGCCACTTTCTTTCTAAACAGCGGCCTCCACAGACTTTACTCATTTTTCGCTGCACACTTAACAGGATCTGTTCATATTCCGAGAACATGCTGTGCTAACAAGACCACTGAAACTGATAAACTGTCAGCGAACACGTTGGTCGTTGAAAGCCGCTAAAAATGACATTGAATTGTTCCCGCGTTTTTTACGATGGCTTCAAACGTTTCCGTAGTATCAGCATAGGCTGTATATACATCTAGTAGTTATATGAAAAAAGTACTCAACGACGTCATATTTTTAATTCAAGACACGCTTTATATAACTGGTTAGGTCATGAAAGTGGAACTACCCTTGTTACAGCGTCACTTGTAATTTCGATTTAATCTTTTGTTCGAGTTTCATTCGAGATCGCTAACAACTCCTTTCCCAGGACTTGCCACCAATCGACATACAAAATATCGCGGAACACCGCCAATACGTCGAGAGGCCAGCGCCGAAAAGAAGAAGACTTCGTAAACGCAAAAAAAAACCGCCGCCCACCGTGACGACGGAAGAACCCGAGGAAATCGCCACGTTGCCGCTACAACCCGATGACGAACAGTCCAATTACGACCTCAAATCGATCCTCAAACGAAACGGCGGTCTGAGCCTGAGCGAGATCCTCCAGAAAAAAAACCTGACGCTCGTCGAACTACTGCGTGGCAACAAAAAAGCGATCTCCGCGCTGACTGCGCCCATCGACCGCAACTACGATTCATCCGAGCAGACAACGTCGTCGCCAGAACTTGCAACCGAACGTAGGATATTCGTGCCGTACCACCCCATATATTACACGTCGGTAGACGTCAAGCTGCCGCCGTTCGAGGTGTCTTCGACGACGACCTCCACAGCGAAACCGCAACCTCGTCGAAAAACTAAACCGCCGAAAATCGACGCCGCCGGCGACATCTACCGATACAACGGCGCGAACGACACGGACCACGGCCCGTTGAAATTATCGATCGGGTTTGAAGAGGTTAGGACGCAACCGACGACGACGGCGACGAAGGAAAACGAGAAAATAAAACCGTTAACGGCGAGGGACGAGATAATGTCGATTATGGAGCGACCAGACGAGCGCGATCGGATACTGCGTGTCCTGCAGCTCAGAAACATGACGGTCGAGGAACTGATCGAGCAGAGAGAGCGCGGCTCGAGCCAGATCCATCTCGCCGACATTTTTCACAACGACGACAAGGAACCAGAACCCGACGTGGTGCACGTAGTGTCAGAGACTGGGGTCGACTTCGAGACGATGATGGCGGAAGAGACGGGCGACCTTCCGGCGTTAAACAGGCGCCAAAAGATACCGCAGTCAGTCACGATCGTAACGACTACAAGCTTTCCGTCAGTAAAAATCGAAACCGTAAAGGGGACCGCCGAAATTTACGCAGATACATTTCGTTACGGCGACGATGCAGAAATGGTGATTTTAGAGAGTAACCTATTGGAAGCAGACCGCAACCTCGACAATACGGAGGCTAAATTGTACTTGACGAGTGAGCAGCTCCAACTAGACGACGAAACGTACGTGTATTTGCCGTCGGGGGTAAAGTCTGCCGTTTTGGCCAGTATGGCGATCGCGGGACTATCAGTGCTGGTGTTTCTCGCGGTTATGTTTGGGTTCCGCTGGGCCGGAGTCAAGACGGTAAATTACCGGTGGGGCGACAAGACGGGCGCGACACCATTTTTCGAAACGCAGCGGCGGAACATAAAACATTTTGTAGTGGGAACGTTGGGGAAGAGTTACTGCAAGAGCCCCGCGCACAGGCCCAACGCGTGGCAGAGCAAAGCGCAGCAACCATTTTAGATTATGAATGTTATTTATTAACACACATCCGAACACGCCAAAAAGAAAATTGAGAAATCAGAAAATATTCAGAGAAAAAACAGTGTCTGATATTCTGAACAATTCTGCCAAATTAAAAACAGTGGACCAAAATTAATTAACCCACAATTTTAATTAATTGTTTTTGCAATACCATGATTGTAGAAACATTTATTTAAATGTTAAAAATTTTGTTGAAACTATATTGAAACTTCGAATTTTGTTGGCAATATCGGTCATCGAAAAATAACTGTCTGTAATTGTGAAGAGTGTCTTCACTGGTCAACAAAAAAACAACTACGACTCATTCATGGTCCCAAGACATATTTATTTATTAAAACTTCATGAGTTTTGAAAACATGTTTGAATTTTTCGCAAGTTTTTTTTTAGAGTGTGTATGTGTGTGTGACGCCATTGTTATATATTTATTTATTGACATACCCAAAGATTATTTAAAACATGTTATAGGAGAAATAAAAAGTTATTATTTTATGTTATTCTTACTGATACACTTCAAAGGGGCGATAAAAAAAAAAAAATATGCTCACCAATAGTCCCTAAAACAGAACCGATTCCTCAACAAAACAGTCAGCGGGTCATCACCATTCTTAAAGATCTTGAACAATATCGCATAGTGTTTGGCGACGCTTTGAATTAGCTTGAAAGCCATGTCTTGAGTGGGACTTCCCTGCAACTTTTGTAGTTCATCATGGGAAAAATATAAAACTGTCGTATAAGCCTTGGGCAATATATCAATGTAGGGTTTCCAGAAAGAAGCGGCTGAATATTTCTCTACAAGCAAGTACATCGCCAAAAGAACATTGGTCATTGTGCCAAGTGGCCCCATTTTTCTGGTTAATTCCTCGAGCACATTCACATGGGCGTTTTCGACTGACAAAACCAGCCTTTTGGGGACGCTAATAATCAAGGACGACTCCGCCACGTCTGTATCCGCTTTTATGCCCAAATCATAACCATCAAATTTGCTAATTGAACAGCCGTTCAATTCACCACCGTTGTCGCTAAACCACTGCATAAACTTCGTTAAAACCTCGGGCGATGTCCGATCCACTGTTGACTTGCAGCTGCCTCTAGCGGCTTTGTCTTCCAATTGTTTGACCCTTTCGATAAGTGCGTTTACCTGTTCGTGGTTTTTTGGCGCTGGTGAACCTATTTTCTTTGGCATGATCGCAATTAACAGCTCGTTTATACTATCTAGTAGTTGCTTTTCTTGTTTCGCATTTTTCTGTTTCCATGTCGGTGTTTTCTTTGCACTTTTGCTTCCGTTTAACTTGGGATCCATTTTAGAGTATTTAAAGCATAGAGGTTATTTTTGTTATGTTCCATGGGCCAATTTTGCCAGAATCATTTGACCAATTAACAATAACAAACGAACTTCGATAGAAAACGCGCGAGGAATGCCTTCTTGATGCGAAATGTCTTAAAACTAACCAAAACTATAATGCGGTTGGCTATTCACACATTGGCACTAACCAACACGACTTCACAAGGAGGTGTTGGTTTGACTCATTTAACTCTTAGATAATATAGTGGACATACTACAATAAAAATTGATACGCCGAAGGAGACATTGATATTTTCGTAGAGAAGGTTATGATTTTTCGCGCAAACCTCTACATTTCACCCACTTTGCGCCATTTTCTTTGTAAACAGCGATTTCCACACACATAACTCGTTTTCTCAGAATATTTAACGCGATATACGCAAATTATGAGAATACACTACCGTAAAAATGCCATATACAAACTAAGGACGGTCTGTCAGCGGCGTCAGTAGTTCGGCCATTAATAAAAAACGAGATTTTAAATCTCGCGCATGCGACCCTCTCAAGAAAATTTTCATAGTTGCTTCATAAGTTCCTGTATTATGGACATGGGCAGCTCTTCTATATCTCCAGTAACTATATGGTTTGCCCATTACCTCCTATATCATATTGTTACCAAATTTTAAACTGGGTTTTCCATCATATTGTAGAAGTCTTGTTGCCTTGACGTGTTCAATTTATTTGAAATATCCGCTAAAGCAGCTTGGCTGAATAGCAATACGTGGCGTACGATAAATTTGCAATCCAGACATTTTAAAGCGGCGTCCTGAGAACTGCTAGAGCTACTTTCACTGCGTGAACCTCCAAGAGCGATGTTACTTTTTTTTTATTATCTTACTACTTTATTTGGCCCTGCAACACGGGCCAGCTTACAAAAAAGTAGTTTGACTGATGGCAAAAAACGGCCTCCCCGCCCCACCAAGGGTCGTCTGGCCTTTAACCGGCGTGGAAGATAAACAGCGGGACCGACAACGATTACACACCTTAAAACCTTCACAAAACACACACAATTGAAACCGATATCAAAACTTTACGGGACGATTACAATGGATTCTGCCGGAAGCGAGCAGGGATTAAATGCTCACGACAGTATCAAGAGCGAGGTAAATCGCCCGTTTCTGCTTTTAGAAGTTGACATCAACGATTACAAAACACGTTAAAAATATCCCGGAAAAAAGTAATTTTTATAGGACAAGCAAAATAACTTTTGTGGTAATACAATTGCTCCTACACTCCCTTAAAAAATGACTTAGACCAATAAAAGTGCGCGATCAGAAACGATCGACACTAATTGGCTAGATTTAATGTTGTCAGGTCAGTCAGTTGTCATACACATTACACACAGCTGTTAAAATACAGCAGTATTGTTTTTTTTTTTTTAAGGCACTAAAGGTGTCTGCCAAGCACAATGGCCATCAAATACAGTTCGAAAGAGATGACGTTGTGTTGTTTGATAGGTATCGCGATTGCCAGAATGATAACGATATGTCCGGTGGTGACCATAGCCGTCCCGCCAAGCGGGATAAGGTCACGAAAAGTTAGCTTTTTTTGACACAATCAAATATCGATTGCGCATCGGGGTCGGGTTCAGATTCACCCCCGTCAATAACACCGTGTATATACCTACCGCTATCACTACGTAGACGCAATACCTCGCGCAGCAGTCGTTTACATTACATTACCGGACGCAAATAAGTAGAAATGAAAACAACGCCGGGGCATAATGATTTTGAGTTATATTCATATCATTATAAACCAATATTACAAATGAAAACAACCTTTTAGTACAATTTAAATAAAAAACATTTCGAAAAATATGAGCCCACGTGTTATGGCGCTCTTGCCACCCTGAATAACCACAGAGATTTAAACCAATAAGGCAATACCAATAACTAACGTATATATATTCCGGCGTATAGCAAAAATCGTTAGGTGTCATTCAATAATATTTTATCAAACGTTATTATTAGCACGTTAGAGTACTTAAAACCTTCACAAATATAAATAGGATATAATACGTATATAATATTAGATAAAGAATGTATGATGTATAGATATATAAGAACAAGGTATCTAATATTATCTAAAAATACTGAAGCAACTCTTGAACATTCTTCACTTTTAACTAGTTTTTTTGTTTTCATTTTTTTTGTTTTTCTATTTAATTACCGTTATCGATAAGTTCGAAAAAGGTACGACGAATTTTCGCGAGAAAAAGGTCAAGCGGAGAGAAACGAGAGGTACTTAATCGTAGGAAGGTGGTGGCTGGGGCGCGACTACTACTATTCACGAGGTGATTGTTACCGACAGGGGTCCCGCAGAACAAACGCCATCTGCGATTATTTTCCAATGTATTTTTTGAACTCTTGCCACGTCGATCCAGATTGGTCGTTCATTTGTGCGGCATCACAGATCCGTAGGGGGCGTGGTTCCATGCAAACGCAAAGGTTACGCGTAATACTATGTTTTTTTAAATGCCCGCGGCTGGATAACATACTCCGGCCGACCGGTTCTATTCGCCTTCTCTCTCTCATTGTTCGCGCTCTCGAGTGCGCACGCGCGCACTCTCTTTCTCTCTCGCTCTATTTTTTCGACAAACATCTACAAGAAAAATCGAAACGGTTAATAACGATAAGGAAACGGGAACGCGACGTTGACCCGGGTATGGGCGGGACCGGCACGACGTCCCAAACGTAACCTAAAACCTAAAGTCTTTGGAAGTGGTTTCTTAGCTTTAAGAAAAAAAAACAATAACAATGCGACGCGCTACGCCCCTGACGTTGCCGAGAAACGGTTGATATGTCGTCGTCCGTAAAAATGTAGAATTTGTACTCTATAATATACATATATATTTATGTGTAAACAATTGAAGCCACGGTCAGGTAAATGCGGGAGGAGCGATGGCTAGGGGCGAGGGAGGGGATAAATATAATTCTTCGGAAACCCGAAAACGGAGTCCAAAATATATAAATATATATAATATAATATACGCACGCTAGATTATTACTTGTAAACGGCTTATTGCTTAAACACTCACACCCAACATTGTTTGTATATCTAGAAAACTATATACAGGGTATTCCTAAACATCGTGTCAATTTTTTGAAGGCAGAAATAGCTTGGTTACAAGGCGTTTTAAAAAATATGCAATAAAAATGTTTTTTAATCCGAGAAAGAAAAGATATACAAAAAATACAATGGCGCGCGTTTTTGATTTAAAAAAATATCAACCGACTTACTACGGTCTAGACACGCCACTGTCTAAATAAAAAGAAAAACGATAAAACAACTACCAAAAGGAAACTTACGCCCTATATATTTGAAACAAAGCAAATGTCCAACCTTCAACATTGACGTGCCGTTTTGAAACGCCTTGTAAAGTTCTGTAATATTTATTGATTGAGAGAATGTGTTGCGTCTGGTGCGGTGGCAGGAGTGAGGGAAGGGCGGGGCGCGGAACGTGCCTTTCGTTGTTTCTCGCAGCCTCCCTGCTCCCCCAACACCTTTCCGGGCGCTTCACGAATCTGCAGACGCCGATAATAATGGACGCGCACAGAAAGAGAGAGAGGGAGAGAATGCGAGCAAAAGAGAGAAAAAGAAAAACACAATATCGCGATTGTGGAGTAGCGCGGCAGATTCGCGGGGCGCCAAGACTCATATAAATCTAATTCTTAAAATATTTTAACTACCGCTACTGCTAGCACTACTACTATACTGTGTAAAGACAACCTCTGATTTTTTTGAACGATCATCATGGTCGGTGACACGACGCTTAAGCCTGATTTACAGTTTTCAGCGGCTGCAAAGAAATATTTGTAGTAACTAATCAAAGACGACTTACCGGAACAACTGCAAAATGCCTTAAAGATACTAGATAAACTGAATACGGAAGCCGAAATGCTGGAAAAATATTGTCGGAATATCTGTCTTTTTCTATTTTGAAAACAGACGGCGAAAATTTTAGGACAACACGAACTCACGAAACTGACCGCGACGAATGAAATGACATACGCACGGGCAGATGGAACATCGATCCTGTTTTTTTTACTGGCACAGTCCTTTACATTCACTTTATCTAGTGTCGTTACGGCAATCCGTTCATTTTTCTTAAGAGTAAATGCTGCCAGCTTTGCTGAAACTATAAACCGGGCTTAACGATGGGTTTATAAAAAAAGTACCAATCAACAACAAGTCCGACATTCAAAAACCGGTCAACAATATATCAAAATAAATTTTGACGATAGTGGCAGGTTCTTATTAAATAACAACACGAAAAATGTATTGCGGGGCGGGTAAAATTCGGGGGGCGGAGGATGGGTAAAGGTGTGGTTGTGTAGCGGATCGTCTAGGTGAAAAAAAAATTAAAACCCTGCTTACAATTTCCAAACGAAAAAATCTAGAGGAGGAAAAAAAGACCGCGTATGTATTTTAGGGAGAAAAGCGCGAAAGACCACGAACCTTTCCATTTGGTCGGCGATAAATCAAAACACATTTTTCAAAAATAGACTCAAATTTAAAATATAAACCCCATCGAAGGAATATTTTTGGGGAGGGAAGAGGGTTTTTTACTCCAAATTACGTCGTTACCTATATAACGGAATGGACATATATAAACCAACACACCGCCTCCATCTAAACCCCCGTTCCACCCCCAATACTGACCGGAAAAATACTTATTGCTAATGAATGTTCCGCACACGCGCGTCGAGCCGAAACCGCAACCTTATATATATAAAATGTTTAATAATGGCAAAAGTTACTGGTATATATATGAGTATCTAAAAAACACTTGGTACACAGACACACATTAAGACGTGATTGTAAAAATTATCGAAAAATTCTATCACATTGACAATATATAATAATATAATGTATAATCAGACAGTCATCGTATCCCACATAGGAGGGAAAACTTCTCTGTCCCTCTCTCTCTCTCTCTCTCTCTCTCCCTCCCGACGTCCGAAAGGTTACCTTTATATTCTCTTCCACTTTGAAACCTAGTCTAAAAAAAAAACGCGCGCGCGCGAAAGGAGTGAGCAAAACGGCCGCGCAGGCACACGCAGTAAACGACGAGTACCAGAAAAATGCCTAAAAACATTCAAAAAGGAAAACGCGCGCTTTTGTATATATATAATATGTAAAAATATCGAAAAACGACGCTGTCGCCGGATTTCCGACTTTGCGTCGCGGGATTTTGTTTTTTTTTTACATTTTTGTTTCTTTCCCGACATCGTCGTCGGGGAAACGTCCGAGAAAGGAAACTGTCTGGCCGTGAAAACAATAACAGCAAGAATAATAGCGATAATAATAAAAAAAATAACAACGCTCTGTACAAAATATACAAAGGAAAAAAGGGGGGGGAGGATAAATATATACATAAGTCTATTAATATAAAAGAAAAAAAATCAACAGCTCGGGGAGATGGGACGAGGCGGTGCAGCGCACCCAAACTACAAAACGATTCGGGAGCGGAGCAGCGCGCCGACCGCCGAAAATAATAATTAAAAAAAAAAACATGACGACGGTACCTAAAACGGTACGAAATGGTCGCGATGATGGGGGAGGAGACACTTCCTTTTCGACGATGCACCTGCACGCGCACGCACACACAAAACAAGTGTATAAGATTACGACGACAATAATTATTATTCTCTTCAAATACATAAACAATCTCTGTGTTAAAATTCGAGTTTTTTTTTGTTTTTTTTTTTTGCTTTTTTTTCAATACATATATAATATACGCGCGTGTGTGTGTTTTATATACATATAGATAATTTTCAACGGCCTGGGGAGGGCCGAAACGGGCAAAGGCCGCCCGGGCTTGCAAAATAACAACATTAAGAGACTAAGGTCACAACTAACCTGAAATACTATTATCACAGGCATGTTTTACCGTACCAAGCCGCCGCCCCCACCCCGTCAAACCTCCCCTCCTACCCAGTCCCGATGCAATATTTTCTTTTCGTTTTTGCCCGTCCCGACGAGCGCTGGGACCAAAGAGAAGGGCGGGGTCGAGGTTAGGGCGCCGACCCGCCCGTCATCGTCGTCGTCGTCGACGATCATCTGGGGCGACTGCTTTTAGGCTGCATCGATAAATATTATACAGTGTGTCCCCGCATAAAATGGTGTACACGGTGGAGAGATATGGGAACCCATTCGTTATACAGTCGGTTAAATAAATATGGATGTTCAAAAATAATTATAATCCGGAAAATCCCGAAACCAAAAATGTCCGAGACTATTCGAAACGTCAAACTATGTTCCGTTCGGTGAAGTCAACTTTCTTAGAAATTGATTACATACATTAACGACATTGAATAGGAATATCATAAATTATTATCCATAATATTTGAAGAATTTCACACCTATGGTGTCTTTCACCCTGAATCAACGGAACCACGTACACATAGGTACACAAATAGGGAAACTATTCTTTCAGTCATATGCGATTTCCTATATCCCCACCTCGTACATCAACCTATATACCGAACACGCAGCATTTTTTTGTTTTTTTTTTTCTTTCGTTTTTTTTAGTACCTACGAACTCTATACATCTACATGGCACTGGTCGCGGCCGAGCTTTATTCGATTTTTTCTGTTCGAAAAAAAAAACAATAATAAAAACGAAAAGAGGCCGGAGGGGGCGCGCGAGGGAGCCCTATCCTGAGTACGTAAACGAGAAGAAGACGACAATTTGTGTTTTCTCGAAACGCGCCGCGGCCCGCCTTTCAACGATAAAAAATAAAAATTCAAATTTAAAACACAAACTATACATAAAAAAAATCTCCTCGTATAAAGGAAAAAAAAAACGAACGGGAGCGCGCACGCGGATGGGGCCGACGGCCGCGACGCGTTTTCGACGCGGCGAGGAAAAAATTATATACAGGTAGTTATTTATAATTCCCCGAAGGGGGCCGAGGAAAAAAATGATTAAGATAAAAAAAAAATAAAACGCTTACGCTACGCCTTAAAAAAAAATTGGCACTATCAGCATTTGGAATAAATCGATAATATATAGAAGCGACAACGCCGTCTACTAAACCGGAAATCAATTCAATAATATATATATATATATATATATATATATATATATATATATATATATATATATATATATATATATATATATATATATATATATATATATATATATATATATATATATATATATATATATATATATATATATATAAAACTATAAATGTATATGTATGTACGCATAGGAACCATGGTTTTTATGCCGCTAAACGAATAAAAAAAAATAATAACTAATAATAATCGATAAAAACTTGCGCGTAAAAAATAATCAACTTTGGATAAAAATTGCGGTTACCTCGAAAAAAATCGATCGAAAAACTTAAACGACAAATCAATGCGTTAAATAAAAATCAGTTCGGTACTATGTACAGTGCGAGATCAAATCTACCCCGTGGCGGCGGTGGTGGTGGTGGTGTTGGTGGTGACGACCCTACAAGATGTATAGCGTGTTTAGGACGAGCACGTGGTGATTATTCTTCGCCAACGTCACCACGTATCCCTCCGATGTGATTTTCAAGCCGCAGCAACGGGACACCTGCAACAACAGGTGCAACACATCAGGGCCACGCCCCTCGGACTCGCCCGAGACATTTGAACTAATACGCATTGAATAATTCCAACCTGAATTAAAACGAAAAACAAAAATCGGTTCCTCAAAACGTATAAGAATAAATCTATATTTTAAAAATAACGCGATAAATATACCTCAAAATCACATTTGAGTCCCAAAAAAGGCTCAAAATTTGATAGCAAATTTTTAGTTTTCAAACCCTGAATAAAATTTTGTCTCAGATACTTGTGGACCGATTTTTGACATAAATTCATGTGGTAATATTGCTGTATAAGATATTTCTTCTTATACATCAAAATATATTCATTAGGAATGCGTGCATAGAAATCGGCCTATTGTGAAGTTTTGACTTCAATATCTTTTTTTTTTTAGAAAGTACTGACCAGATCAAAAAAAAAAATGCTGTTTGAAGGACAATTAATTTAATATGGTTTAATACGATTTTGAATTGATTATAATTTATTTCTGCTTTTTAGGTTTAACATAGTAAAATAACTGCACGAGGAAAATTAACTTTTTTTTATTACTAAAAAAAATAGAGTTACTGACAATTAGCAACTCAACATTTATTTTTTTTAATAATGGGTATGACCCCCTCTTGCTATTGTTTCTTGTGGAATGTTAAGCCACTCTTGCTCTACTGCAACAATAAGCTCTGGGGAGGTTGGGGTACGAATTCTCCGTTTTAGCTCATTCCATAAATGTTCGATCGGATTGCTGGCCATTCCATAACTCGAAAACCGACTTCTGTAATGTAATCTTAAACGATCCTTGCGGTTGCCTAGCATTGTCATACATGAAAATGAATTCTTCTCCAATGTAGTCGACATATGGTACTATGTGATCTGATAAAATATCCTCTATGTACCTAGCACTTGAAATTGCACCCCATATTATGAAGGAACCACCTCCATAAGGGCCCCGCTCTTCATTGTAGCATTCTGTACATCTCCCTCCTGGTTTTTGGTACACGGTCACTACCAAAAATGTATTTCCTGGCCTCATCTGAACAGAACAAAACAGACCCCCACTGGTCCAATGTCCAACTCAGATGATCTCGTGCAAAGCGTAGACGTGCTTGGTGATGAGCTGGAGTAAGTTTTGAACCAACCAATTGCAGTTGTTTTTGGGGTCAGGATATTTTTCTTCAGTCTTCTCACTATCCATTAACTAATAGCCACTCTTTGACATTCATGGAGCTATTGTTGCACTTCACTGCCTGTTCCAGGGCTTCTAGCAAAGGATCCAGTTTCCTCATATCGTTGGCATACTCTTCGAACTGCTGCGCGTGTCATATCCAGTTGTCAGCCAACAGCTCGCTGGCAAAGTCCACTTACAATGAAAACGATAACGTGAGCGGCTTTTTGCAATGTAGTATGCATCAAGCTAATACAATTAAACACTATCCAAATGGTTAAAAACGAATAAATGAATATTCCAGTTGTAAAGGCGTAACAGTAAGTCTGTAACAAGTTTGTTACTATCACTATAAATAGTGCGTTTCACTACTTTAACCGTACCTACGCATATAATAGATCAACACTCTTGACAAATTTAAACTCATACTAAGACATCTTAAATTGTCTTCCAAATAGCATGTCTATTTTTTTGGGTCAGACGAAGTTTCTAGAAAAAAAAAACACTAAATTCAAAAATTGAAATTGGGACGATTTCTATGCACTCAAGTTTAGTAGCTTCTTTCATAACTTCAACACCCTCCGCCTCCCGATCTAGAGGTATCAAAATGTCTAAAACTCAGATATCGTTTTGCGCTAACCAGAGAATTCTGATTTAAGGATGTTAACTGTCAAATTGACGGGTTCCTAGAGTAGATAAGGAATTAGATTTGAATCTTTCTCAAAATTTTCAAATGGTAACAGAAGGCGCAGATGTAACGAATTATTGCGATAAATTACAATATAAAAAGTATTAAGAGAACGATTTTGGTAGAATGAGGAGATAACTTAGAATATGTAATATTTTAGTATAACCGCGAGTTCCTTTTTATTGGTTTTTCTATTCTACCGGCAATGGCGTCAAGCCTTTGACAAGACGTTGCCAAATTTACGGTAGTCAGGCGCCTCACCTTAACGTAGGGACACTCGAACTCGGAGATGAGGGAGCCGTCGCGGGCGAACACCGCGACGTGGAACCTGTTGCCGTGCGAGTCGCCGATAAGGACGTCGCCGGCGTCGGATATGTCGATGCCGTTCGGGAAATTGGTCAGGTTCTCGCAGCCGATGCGTCGCAAAAACTGTCCATCGTCGTTAAACACGACGACGTTGTGGCCTTTGAAGTCGCACACGTAAAACTCTTTGCCTGCAACGGGAGCGACAACGTCGATGTAATTTTTCAAAGAAATTTCCGCAGGCTACTGTAATACTATTTACGAAACTTATGGATCCCTCCTGTGTCGGTTGTCGTTGAGTTCTTGAGAAATTGTTTCAGCAAAGCTCTGTAAAAGCCAGCAGAATGATCGGCGAAACGTTAGCAAGTTCAACTCAACAACCGGCGCAGGACGGATCCATAAGTTTCGTAAATAGTAACGTCCATGTAGTTTCCGATTTTTTTCGTTTTCGGAACATTCCCCAAATAGAAAAAACAAAAATTAACAACCCATAAAAATTATTTCCGAATCCGACATTTGTTATTTTTAATTTAAAGCAACCAAAGACGGGTCTAGGATATAAAAAATATATATTCGGGATTAATTTTGTGTTTGGTGTTTTAACTGTCGGATATTTTACTACGGGGGTCACTCTTCAGGCGTTTAAAAAAAAACATCCCTCCTTTATGAGATACCGAGAGTTAAGCTTTCTTCAAAAATTCTTTAGAAATAACAGAATTAAAAAATATCTCAAAAGCCGTTTGACGATATTTACCTGCACCTATTTATTTTATTTGCTAGAAATGTTTACTAATAGATTTAGAACCCACCTGCCTGCCAAATATGTTTGACTTAGCATAATTATACACGCACTAACTAAAATTAACTAAAACTAACCAAAAATCGACGTGGAGACCGCCAAAATCGATAAAATCGGCTGTGATGTACCATTATTATGCCAACGAGGTTAAAAGAAATAACCTATAACTTATACAAAGTTCCGGATAACGCACACAAATTCCTAAACTACAGGTAATCCTCCCACCTTGAACATTTATTAATTATAATGAGAACAATACCACACATACAAGAGTTTTGATTATTTCAACATTTCCCACCCCCAGAGAGAGACGGACAATAACGATCTTTAAAATGTGATTGAAATGTCAAGCAGACCTTTCGGCAATTTTGAAAAATTCAAAATGTCCGGGCCTTTTAATGTGAAAACAAAAAAAATTCCCACTTGGAAAGTCTAGATGATCTGAAAAGGTCGCTCAGAACCTCGTTGACTTTTGCTTTGGTTACCGTGTATGGCGATGTCGGACGGCTCGCGCATGTAGTCGCTGCAATCGAACCAACGCAACAGGTTGCCGTTCTCGTGGATGATAAAGACGGTGGGGCTGACGCTATCGACGGCAACGATCTCCCCTTGGCCGGTGACCGCGAGACCCGCGACGATGTCGATGTAACGGATCGCGATCTTCTTCAAAAAGTGCCCGTTCTTCGTGAAGATCTGCATGCGGGATCGCTCGTTGCCCCGATCGCACACCACGTACTTGCCGGTACTCCTCATCACCGCTACCTTGCGCGGGTACCACAGCTGGCCCTCGTCCTTGCCCGGTATGCCGAACTGGAACTTGAACGAGCCCGTCTTCTCGAATATCTGCAACCGACAAGACGCGGTCACATACGACCAAAATAGGGCGTTATATATAGGTTAGTTGTTCAACCATGTTCAATTTTTTTTGGTCAGTTTACAGAATGAAGGAGATAGTTTCGGACACAATTTGAATGACCAAATTAACGTTATTTTATAAATATTCTAACTGCTTTTTAAACAGTATAAATGAACAAACTGACAACCTCTGCATTTGCATACAAATCTACCAGGTGATTAGGTCCAAAACAGGAGTAGCAAATTTTCAATATTGGAATGGAAGTGTCGGTTTGTTTAGTCTATAGCAGGATGGAAGTAAATTTTTAACAACAATAATTTAAACTTCGATCTTTTCACTGAACTAATGCAAAAATAAATAAAATGGAACATCAAGCCAAAATCTACATAAAAAAACATGCCCCAAGAGTAAGGTCAGAAATGCTTCCTTATTCTCCGCCTCTCCCCAAGTTGAGACTTCCGGCCAGCTGATCAGCGCCCACCGTGTGGCTTACTGTGGGTGGACGCGTGCGAACTCACCTGTATCCGATGATTGTTCGTGTCGGCGACGATGATGTCCTCCTCCAGACCGAGGCAGAAACCATGGGGTGAGTTAAACTGGCCCTTTCCGGGCCCCAGCTGACCAAACTTGCAGCGGATCTGCATCGGGCTGACCTTATTGCCGCGGTTGACGGCCGGGTTTGGATTGTTGCCACCGGAGGGCAGCATGGTACCGAGCGTAGGATCCTGTATGATGTCGTCCGGCGTCGACAGGAGCGGTGACGCCGACGTCGACACCCCGCCGAAACCATTCATCAAGTTGTTGCCCAGGTTAAGGGATGCGACCGAAGTTGAACGCACCAGCATGTTGCTACCGTTCGTTATCGTCTGATTCGCATCTAAATGTATATTTTTTTATAACGCTGTTTTTTGCGACGCGAAAACCTAGTAAAGCGCCCAATTTATTGGTTATTTCTATTCCGAAACTTTTGTGGTTTCCATCCTTACCGCAATGATCAGGATAATTTAAAAAAAAAAATAAATAAATCGGTCTGACGACGCGACTCGCTCAGTAAATCAATAATTTAAAATCGTCAATTATTATTAACGTGAAAAATGTGAAAAATTCGATATGAATATTTAAACAACGTTAGAGAAACTTCGCGGGGCGTTAATTTCTTCGCAACATCACCAGTGCGAGTCAATTTTCCTCAACACACTCGTTGGGCGCCAATTATTTCTCAACGATTTTTTTACGCGCCAAATTTTTCGCAACATTCGTCAATTTTTTCACAAAACAATATTGTTTTCGCAACGTTTTCAATACATACCGGCCGCGTTGAGTCCAATCTTCGCCAGCGATGCCAAATTCTTGTACGCCGTGTCGTTCGTCAGAATGTCGACAAAATTGAACGGCGGTGTCGGCGACGTCCCGGCGCTATTCGAATTTTCTGCGAGGGTGGCGAGCTGCGCGAGATTAAACTCGGCAATGCTCGAGAAACCCTGCAACGTGGGGGCGGCGCCGGACATGTGCGAAGGCAACTGCGACGGCGGCGGGCTCTGCGTCAACCCGAAATTGGGCGGCAGGTTATTGGAGATATCGGCGCCGTCGAACGACGACTGCATCGATGCTGGTAACGATATCGGACTGCCGCCATTCGCTAACGATGCCGTTTTTGACGCAACCGTAGTCCCGTTCAGCATTGGCGCTGCAATCGATTCCGGAGAGCCGGGACTGGGCATCGGCGACCCGGCGCCGACAACGACTGCCGTCTCGGTAAGGAAAACGCCAAAGTGCTTGCCGACCATCTTCTCAAAATTGTCAAAATCACTCTTGAACTCGACGCTGAACGACGCCTCCGCTCTGGGCGAACTTGAATTCAGTGTGAGAAGCCGCGACGCGATGATTTGCCGCAGATACATCATCTCCAAGACGGTGCCGGTGTCGAGGAGGCGCGAAGTGTACCTGATTGGTTGGATAATGTCAATAATGTCAAGTTTGGATTTGGAAACGTGCAATTTTTCCATTTTTTTTTTATTATTATTTAGTGTTGAAAATTGTATTTAGGCACACATTAAATAACATTTAAATTAAATTAAACTTTTTCTTACTTGTCTGCATTGTGTACATTTTTACCTGGTTATTAGTTTTGTTCTGTTATTGATTTGGATTGTCATAGAAAACAATCAAATTAAAATGGCAAAAAAGTTGATATGCTTCTGGGTGCGGTATATTCAAAGTTTACAGAATTAAAATTATAAGTTGCAGCACTCGGCAGTAGGTTGGCAGTAGATGAACTTTGGTCGAAGCTGGCTTCTAACGAAATAAATGAGCAAAATAACTGTGACGTATTGTGTAATGTGTGTTTACTGTATTAAATTACATTAAACTCTGCCTTAATTGTCTAGAAAAAAAGAATATTGAAATATTGTTTCTTCGGATATTCAAACTCTTCTTAAATAGTGCTCACGTGACATCACTTACGATATTAAACAATAACCGGTAAAAATGAACAAATTTATCACGTCGATTATGTATTTATTTATTGATCTTGCTTTTTCCTTCCTATGAGCTAAATTTGAAATTTGAAAATGAGCTATTCGAAAAAATTGCATTATCATAAATAATTATTATTTTATTACATTAAATGATATTTGGCAAGTAAGGAAAAACCATCGAAATTCTAAATCGCCGCGCCGCGTCAAACCTTTTAAAAGTTTTAGAGGCTCCAAATTGCAACCGCTTATATTTGTGGTGGAAGACTTACCGGCAAGCGTCCTCGAGGTTGCCGATCGCGCGTCCCATCTCGTCCGACTGCTTCATAATTTTCAGCTCCCGCTCATGGTACAGTTCGTTCAGTTCGTCGAGGGCCGCGTCGCGGCGCCTCTCCAATACAGCCTTGTAACTTTGGTACGATTCGTTGATCAGGTCCCTGGCGGAGGAACGCTGATGCGCTAGCTCCTCCATGTTGGCGTCGAGGCCGGCCGCGCACTTGGCTAGCTTCTCCAGCCGGTCCTTGCTCTTCGTCAGCAGACTCTCCATCTCTTGGCGCACGCGCACCTCTGACTCAGAAACGCCCTCCGTCGGGTGACCCATGTGCTCGGTCTTCGCGCACACACAGCATATGAGACTGTTGCATACCTACGCAAAAAAATAAATATTCCCTTCTACAAAACGATAATGAATGAATGAATCGAAATGACAATCATTTATACTACGTAACTCGAAACAAAAAGTATCTTTATTTCATGTATTTATTCGTAGGATATCAATTAAGCCGTTTAAGATTTTAAAATCGAAAACTGCTCTGCAATTTTACAGATCTCATAGTATTTCCATGATACATTTTCGACCAGTACTTTGGCATTTTGTATAACTGTTCCAGGGCAGTCATAAAACCAAATTACGTTGTTTTACACAAATCATATGGATGGTTATATATCCCAAACGGTTTATTTTTTAAGCGCATTTTTTTAAAAGATTTTGACTCTAACCAAGGTAATGAAAAAACAAAACTTTGAATTCAATTTTTAAATGCGCCATTATATTTCACCTAAAAAATGAATGGAATGAAAACGTATTCAAAAAATCAAAATATCTTTCACATTATGTTGCTCAGCACTAAAGGTGCTATTCAAAACCTCACTACCCATTTTTTAAAAATCGAAAAATTACGGAAGCAGTGTGCAAACGGCATTTAGAATTTCCGTAATAACGGAGTGGCCCGTAAGGACGGCTCTTTTTATTGGGTGTAATGTAAAAGCATAAAATTAACAACAAAAACTTGGACCGGTGTTTATCGGTGGGCCAAATTAAAATCGAAACGTTTGATGAAAAAAAAAGGTAAACATCTGTTTATACAAAATCGAGAAATACTAAAGCAGTCTTGACCCAAGAAGAAGAACAAATCTAGAAAGGTTCTCATTTGAAATTGGAATGTTTCTGAAATATTCCCAACGTTTAGTTTTACTAGTTAGCAAGGAAAAAGTAAAACCTATCGCTCAAATAAGGGAGGGAGGACCGCCATCCAATAGCAAAAACGGCTCTAATAATGCATACTTGTTTTTATAATTTTTAGCCACAGAGTCACAAAAATCAAAAAAATCAGAAGTGCAATTATATTTTATTACACCAGCGAATTCGCGTTAATTGCTTCGCCAACAAAAAAAAAACAACGAATTTTATGCGTACCGCGCAGTTGAATGCGACGCTCTCGCCGGGATGAACGTCGCAGTCGAGCGGCTTATGTATAGTGATCTTGACACCGCGCTTGCGCATGTCCTCGAGTTCGACGACACGATGTGACTCGAAGCAACGCATGTAGTGATGCGCAGAGTCGCAATTCGCGCACAGCAGGTTGTGGCACGTGTTGCATTTAGACTTCGCCACTTCTTTCGCGGTACACGACGTGCACGTTAACGTCGACGTGTGCGACACGTCCGACACGTTCGTCTTCGTTACGTCGAGGAGCAGCGCCGAGATTTTCTTAACCCCCACCTGAGATTCGAAGCCGCAGGTCGGGCAAACGATAGACGCATTCGGGCTGCCCGCGTCACCTGCGTCACCGATCAGCTTTTTCTCCAAGCACTGCTCGCAGAACACGTGCAGGCAGTAGAGCATGCGCGGCGTTACCAGTTTACCGCTGAAAACCGTTTGATTTGATCAATGATGGATAGAAAAATGGTAGAATAACGCGAGCAAAGTTTAATGTAATTTTGTGGGTGACTTAAAGAGGGCAACGCTGAGTGCTTTTTAACTTTTCGGTTACTGAAATATTTTTGCAAACCTGAAACTCGGCATTTTCCTGGCACAAAAATTTATGTATTCAATATATTTTTTAATAATTTAAAAACATGTTTTTCAAAATAAAGTGTTTTCTCTTTTTGTTTCCTTCACCCGTCATCAACTTTATTTTTTCTTACGGACACCATGTTGGATTTTTGCGATTTCAAACTAACCATAAAAATGCTTTTCATCGATATAAAACGAGCTTACACTTCACATTTTTTTTAATTTTTCGTAGATCCAAAAACGTTAAAAGACGTATAATCCTCTTCCGGGATCGTACCATCCTACTAACCAAAACAAAATGCCCCACACTGTATCCATTCATTACAACAATGCGATAAGTAGATGCGAAGGGTGTTTTGTGTTGCCGGCCGTCACAATAAACTGACGGTCGGCACTATTGTTGATCTACCTATATAAAGTCCTCCTACAATCAGTCGATATACCCTGTACATATCTTCAAATTCATAGAGCTACAATTACGAATCGTGTTATCCCTTTTAGTTTCCTTTTAAAAAAAAGCTATGATCCCATATCCTCACCTTGCTTTTTGATTAATTCAGTAATTTTTCTGGTTTGAATTAGCGGTACAAAATTCACAGAAACGTCAGATACTGCTGATTTCTCAGAATATCTAGGTAATTTTAAAGCTTAGCCTTAAAGAATACTCCAGAACTCTGGCATTTCTACAGGTAATTTTTTAAATTTAAAATGAAAATAAAACAACTATAAGCACAGTCAACAGTCAACAATTTTCTTTCTGCAACTTTTGATTTTCTAAATATATTTACACCCAACTGAGGCATTATATCGATCCCTTTTATATAAGCTAATGATGAAGACTAATTTTAATTATATTCACTACTTCCCGAATTCATACTAAAACTTGCGGTTAATTTCTGCTTAATAGGCATGAGCATTGCGATATTAACTGACACTGTGATGCAGAACTCAGACATGTGTGCTCGAATGCAAATGTGAAATGAAATTTCAGAAACACAAGATTCAGTTTTACTCTTCAGTGAGATATAAGTTTTAGCATCAAACGAATTGATTATGGTTTGGAAACATATTTTGACATGTCCAATTTAGTGAAACAAATTGTATTTCATGATCACATGTACTGTCAAAATACCATTAAGAAACCACCCACACATACAAACACACAAAATCAAACTGAACCAGGTAGTTACATGTCAGTTTCATACCACACACACTGCCAAATTTGTGCTCATGCAGTGGGTTGGTGTGGAAATTTGACAGTTTTGCATTGCAGTATGGCTCCCTTACATTAATTCCTACCAGGAACTTTCAGTTATCTTTCAAAAAAATAAGAAAATCCTATAGAAACAAACCAGCGTTTAAATTTGAAAACGTCACCTTCACATGTACCTATATATTAACAAACCCAAACAAACTAAGAAATAAATATCCCGATGCCTCACCAAAAATTAGTTTTACAGGATAACTCGAAACAACACTGTATCCCAAAATGAAAAAACTAACACCAAAAGCCCATTACTAACCCACACATTCCACAATTGTCTGGGTCACCAAGCAGAGCACCCTCCAGAGGCTCGCTACACAATTTGCCATTTGTTTCTCCTAGTAAAATATTATCAGATACGTCAAAATCCTCGGCCATAGGAAATTGGTCTTCTGGCAAGGAGAATTCTTCGTTTAGTTGCGTACCCATTGTTCTAGATGATTCTCGCGGCCCTTTGTACGCTAAGAGATACTCTCAGTAGGCCTGTTTTCCCCAACAGAAACTGATTATTCTGTCGATTTGTGTGCCTGAAACAAAAACGGTTAAAACGGATGCGGTGCCTCTAGCGTAAAGTTACCCATACGATGCTACTAAAACCCTATTCGGGATTTAACCCCCCGAAAAACAATCTAAACAATACGCGTAAACAAAGTCTAAAAATTAAGTAATAAACATTTGCTTACCATTGCCATGACGAACAAATATTTTGCAAATGGCGCAACCACGGTTGCCAAAGTGCGTATATAAAAATCGATTGGCGCTTGTTTCATTTCCGCCTGTAGTGTAACGCGTTCGAAACTTGATTATTGCTAATTTAAAATTAAGTTACATGCTTAAAGGCAAATCATAGGGCGAAGTATCTTTAGATGTTAAATGCGTAATGGATATTAGTTTCATGAAGCGAAAACTGATTTTCTTTTTAAACAAGTAGCACGGAACGCGGCAACGGCCGTCCTTGAACTATATTTGCAACCACAGAATACAGAATACTCCTTTTTCTCTAAAAAATGAACGGAGGGAATTTTTAGTTTTTCTTATTCCTGCTTGGCAAGAAAATTCTTGAATTTTGAACAACTAACGAAATTTCAAAACTCATTTTAATTTGTTGGTTATACGAGTGGCTTATTATCAAGTCATTTCCAATCCGTTTTCTGTGGTACTAAATTGAAGCATTTTTGAGTGAGCCGGTTGTGGTTTTAAAAATATTTGAACCAATTTTTTTAAAATTAATGTGATGGACTTTTAGCACGAAAAAGGTAAGCGAATTGGCGACTCGGAGCACGCGGAATCCTCCTCGGATGCAAATTTTATGTCAGAATTCCTTCTACATATTTGAAAATATGAAAGCTGTTCCGCTGCCATGTGATTATTAATTTGTTTTTAAATTATTTGTTATTGCGGGAGTCCAGACGACGACGATAGTTCAAAACTGCGCTCGGAGCTGCGTCGATTTTTATAAAATTAAAAGAGAAAACGACAAATGGAGTGGGAATTTGAACTAACCAATTATTTTTAGACCTCCAAAAAATCACAATTCAGATGGCCGGCCCGGACGTTGCCGCCTTGGCGGCTGATTTAGCGCGGGCGGTCGAGCTCACGATGAGCTCGGTCGCTTCTCAAGGCGACCGTCTGAAAGCCTACCAGGCGTGTGAGAGCTTTAAGGAAACGTCTCCCCTCTGTGCTGAAGCTGGACTTTACCTCGCCGCAGGCACGCAACATTCCCTCATTGCTCGTCATTTTGGACTCCAGCTCATGGAGCACACTGTTAAATATCGCTGGACCCAAATATCTCAGCATGAAAAAATATTTATCAAGGTAAGCTACCCCCATGCGACTGTGTTACCTTATAGAGGGAGGTTTTTAGGAAAATGCGATGAAATTACTGGCCGCGGGCGGCATAGGTGAGGAACCTCACATGAAAGACGCTCTGAGTCGAGTCGTCGTCGAAATGGTTAAAAGGGAATGGCCGCAGCAGTGGCCCGGGCTCTTGGCTGAGCTCTCAGATGCTTGCTCTTGTGGCGAGACCCAAACCGAACTAGTGTTATTTGTTTTCTTACGTCTCGTTGAAGATGTAGCTTTATTGCAGACCCTCGAATCAAATCAGAGACGGAAAGACATCTACCATGCGCTTACAGCCAACATGTCTCTGATATTCGAGTTTTTTTTAAGGTTAATTGAGTTACACGTTAACCAATTGAGGGCTTGTACTGAAACGGATCCATCAAAAGCTGCTGCCCACAGGCGAGTGGTACAAGTGGTACTCCTAACATTAACAGGATTTGTGGAGTGGGTCAATATGACTCACATAACAGCCCAAAATGGACGCCTTCTTCAGATACTCTGCTTGTTAGTGAACGACACGGCTTTCCAATATTCCTCGGCTGAGTGTCTGTCACAGATTATGAACCGTAAAGGCAAAATTGAGGAAAGGAAACCATTATTGATGCTGCTCAGTAACGAAACTATGCAGTACCTTTTGACAGCTGCCAAAAATCCAGGCACCACGTTCAATGAGCAGCATTACCTGTTCAAAAAGAAATTGATCCAGGTGTTTGGGGGTCTAACCACCCAGATTTGCACTTTGTGGAGCAAAGATCCATCCTTTCAGCCCCAAAATTTTGGGATGTTCCTCGAGGCAGTGCTCGCGTACAGCGGCCACGCGAGCCTGTTCCTCGCTCATCTTGCCAACCCTTTGTGGAACAGTATGTTAAAGCAAGAGGGCATAGCAAGGGACCCGACTTTCTTGTCATTCGTTCCTAAGTGGGTGCATTGTACCGCCCCCAAGATTATAAAATTTAATTATCCAACGGGGAAAAGCCCCTGCGATGACCTAAACGAGACTGTCGCCTACTCAAAGATTGACTTTGACAGCGAAGAAGAGTTCTGCGCATACTTCTATCGGTGCCGATCGGATTTTTTGGACTCATTCCGGTAAGTGACGAGGACATGATTGCATGGTAATTTCTAGCTTATATAGAATATTAAAAATACAATTTTGGTAGGGTTAATTTTTTAAAACTTTGTTGGTTAAAATTTAATAAATTACCTCGTTCAGAAGAATTGGGGGGGGATCGAGGATGTCTCGGTTGGTAAGGCGTTGACCTATCCCAACTCAAACTTGGGGAGGTCGTGGGTTCGATTCCCATGGGGAGCGTTGGGTGTTATTGTGTTTGTCCGATTTTAACGACTGGCAAAAATTGCTTAATTTACTCGTTGATATATGGAATAACCTGGGCAGGTTCCTGTCTGCTCAGAATTTTGCGCTGCAAAAAACTTATCGGTTTCAGACAAGCGACCTTGGTCGCCCCCCTAATAACGTTCAATTATGTGGAGCAGTGGTTGGTGAAGTGCCTCCAGGTGCCAAATACTACGTTCGGATTGTCGATGAGCGACCCCGTCTACCAAGAGTGGGAGGCGCTTGCCAATTTTCTCGAGAGTGTCCTCAGTAGGGTGCTGCAGGCGCATGAGAGACCCTCGATACCGTCGGGGTTGGGGCTGCTCGAGATGTGTCTACGCTATCAGCCGGCCGATCCGCTGATTATGTCCACCCTGTTGACGTGCATATCAGCCCTGTTCGTGTTCTTGAGCATGTCAACTGGACAGATGGCGCCCGCTGGTGAGTGTGTACTGTTCTCTGCTGTTTGGTTTGGAACTCTATTGACGGTTAAGGTAAATGAACTAAGCGACATAATGAAACAAACGAATATAAACACTTAGTATACAATTTTTAATAATGGTAGGCAAAAGTGGCGCTGACGGGGGTAGCGAAAAAACAATCGGTATAAATAATGACAAAAAGCATAAAAATAACCTACTTCGTGGATCAACGAAGCATCGCGAATACGCTACTCGGAAAAATGTTACAGTATATATTGCTTATTTGCTGTGTATCAGACTTGTAGTTAATTGAATTTTTGTTTTTGTTAATATAGCATATTTCAAGAAACAGTCGGGCTTTATAATTGTTTACACATATTTTAGGATTGCTGTAGGTCAAATTTAAGTCCTGTTTTTATATGTTCAACCACTACACAGGTATTCTTATGAATACGGCACTGTGAGGTCTGTCCAATATAACAGCCTTGACAACCCAAACACTACAATCGCTATATGACATTAGAATTGTATAGTAGCGGACCTTAGAAAAAAGTTTTGACACTTTTGCAGTATTATATTTGGCAATTTTTATTTCCTTGAATTCTTTGAAAACATTTATGATAGATTCTGTGAGGTTTTTAATATAAGGTATCTTTCTGTAACACATCGGAGCGCCTGGTTCCTCTTTTTAAAGAAAAAAAACTAACCAAAACGTAGATAAAAATAATTATAGGAATCAAACGAAAAATGTCAAAAAGTATATAATTTAAAAAAAAATTATCTAGTTTCTTGGTAAAAGCAAGCCGCCGCGTGGTATTTATTTTAATTTTTTATAAAAAAGGAAAACTACTTAATAATGTTTCAAAATTTTTTTTATCAGTTAAAAATGTTATTAAAAATATAAGATAAAAGGCAACAGGCGATAATATAAATTAGGATAAGATTTGTTCAATAAATTTTCGATGTTGTTGAAATTTTATCTTGTTTATTTACGATGTGACTTTGAGGTATCTGCGAATAAATATTTTAAATGTCTTGAAGGAACGTGGGTATTAAAAAAAAACAATTTCTAAAAAAAGAGAATCGAGATTTGACATTCTATATCTCGCTTATTTATAGTCGCGGAAGGCTGAAATGATTTTTGTCAGTTTCAATATTGAAAAGAAAAAATTAATTGCGGTTAAACGGAGGGACGAATCTTCAAATGGACATCATAATTTTAAAGCCGAAAACGAATTCAAAGAAGGTCCATTCAGCATGCGCATGCGCCAGATTTACAATGTTGCTTTCAACCAATAACCTTGCGGCATTCAAAAACGAACATGACCGCTGACAGATCGTCAATAAGTTTGGATGCGGCGTTTTTAAAGCAATATTTTCTGAAAATCTCTGGGAAAGCGAGTTAAGTGTGTGGAAATCGCTGTTTACAAAGAAAATGGTGCAAAGTGCGGGTTAGTGGGTGAAATGTAAAGGTGTGCGCGGAAAATCATTTAATTTCTACCTTAGTGGGGCCACTGATTTCGTAGGAGAAAAATCTTTTTCTTTATTTACATAGACTAGACCGGCTCATACCTCAGAAAGTTTTATGAAAAAAAAAACTAACTGTAGATTCTCACGTCTTCAAAACAGTCCGCTTTCAGCAAACTCGGTGGCCGTGTCTGGCGCTACGCTACTGCCGCAGGTGCTTGAGAAGATCTTTTCGACTCTGGTCTACAACCCTAACAACCAATCGCGAGAAGTAAGATCGCGACCCCTGAAAAATGTCAGACGCCACGCCGCTTCCCTCATGGTAAAAATAGGCAACAAGTATCCCCTGCTGCTGCTGCCCGTCTTCGACCAAATCCGCACGACCGTCGAGAACTTGTCGAAACCGGACGGCCCCGCCCAACTCAGCACCCTCGAGAAAGTCACGCTGCAGGAGGCTCTGCTTCTCATATCAAACCACTTCGCCGATTATGAAAGGCAGAGCTCATTCGTCGGCGAAGTCCTGCGCGAAGCTAGCGCTCGCTTCGTCTCGATCGTCAATTCTGGCGCGCTAAAGGGGGCGATCCCTTTTATCTCGTTCGTCGGCCTGGACAAACCCCCCGTGCCCGCGAACACGGACGACCCATGCGGACACAACCGTAGCGGTTTCGTTTTTTGCGTTAACCTGGTGCTCGGCGCCATCAAACGGTGCTCTTGGCCCGACGACCCCGAAAGAGCGACCAGGGGCGGGTTCGTCGTCTCCTTGACCGAATCCGGCAACCCCGTGTGCCGGAATCCGGCCGCTCCCCACGTCATACCATTGTTGCCGCACATGCTCTCGCTCATTTGCATCTTCAACGAACTGTTCACCCCCGACGCTCAGAACGCGATCCATCACAGTTACAAGGGGTGTTTGGCGATGCCCGAGACTGAGAAATCGAATTTGTTGGGTCTGATAGGCCATTCGGCGGATAACGGGGACAGTCTGATCGTACAGAGTCCCCTTGAGAGGATGCAGCGTTTCCTCACGGGCCTCCACGAAAGTTTTTACCATCTGATTGGTTCGATGGGGCCGTCCCTGGGTAGGGATCTATACAGCATACCGGACTTGGCCCTCGCGATCATCAACAGCGTGCTGGCGTACTTGCAGGTGGGTTGCCGCGGTAGGCCACGCCACTGATGGTGTTTGAGTCACAAGGAGAGTTTCGAAAACGATTAGTAAAGCCGTAGGTTTAGGGTAGGTTGGGGGGAAAGTCTGCGCATTCTTAAAAGAAAAGTCCTGTTATCATGGGAAGTTGGATCTACTACTATGCTCCCTCTGCATATTTGACTTTTTCAGTATGTACCCGACTATCGAATCCGGCCTATAATCCGGGTGTTTCTCAAGTCGTTCATCTTCGCGTGTCCGCCCCCGTACTACGAGACCGTCATCCTGCCCCTGCTTGGCCACATTACGCCCATATGTGAGTCCTTCTCGGTGACCTCGCCTTTTTTAATAGCTCCTGGTTTCAGTATTCAACCGTCTGCACGCGAACTGGCAACGGGTTATCGAGTTCCGTAACAGGGAGGTGCAGGAGGACAACGCGGACACACAGGAAGTGCTCGAGGACATCCTGACGCGCGCCCTGACCCGGGAGTACCTCGACCTGCTGAAGGTGGCGCTTGTGGGCGGCAGTCTAACGCCCGAAACCGCATCGGAAACTATGGAAACGGAGGAGCTGAGCAATTCGCCGACGCCTCCGCCCGTGAGGTCAAGCGTCACCTCAGAGGTCATCTCCGACCTCGGCCTCATCCTGCTCCGGAGCACCAAGACGTGTCAGCCGGTCGTGCTAACCGTGCTGAGTGCCCTGTCTTGGATTGACAGTAACGCGTCTTTGAAGGCCACCATGTTGGCCGGTCCCATCGTTCGGCAGGTAAGAAAAAGTGGTGGGGAGCGGCAAGATTGTTGTGTTTGAATACCATCCGGTTGGTGATCCGCACATTAAAGCATTTCCTTGCATACTTTTTGAACTTTCTTAATCAAAATTTTTTTGTTATACGTTTCACATACCAAACGTATTTAAGTGGGTCCAAAAGACGGAACGCAGAAAATTGCTCAGTAAATTAAAAAATGTATGTGGTAAAAAAAATATTTGTGGAATCCTAGAATCGCAATTTTCCATTGGGACATTTGAACTACTCGTTCCGCGTTTACCAGCTTTCGCAAGACAATTCCCTCAACGGGGAGATGGCGAGCCACATTATGGCGGCCATACTGAACGCGCTGATGCTTCACGGACAGCACGAGGCGAACCAGGGCTCATTGCTCACGCTCGGCGCCCAACTTTACGAACTGCTCCGCCCATCGTTTGTCGAAGTGCTGGCAGTGATGCAACAGATACCAGGCGCTAACCCGGTAGACCTCCAGAAACTCGACGAGAGGATATCCGGCAGCACCAGTAAAGGCAACAAGGTCGAAAAGGTGAAGAAGGACCTGTTCAAAAAGATTACGGCGAACGTGAGTAATAATTGTACCCCGCCCCCTCGGCGTGACAATTTAAGGTTTCAGCTCATTGGTCGTAGCGTCGGTCAGTTGTTTAGGAAGGAAGTCAAGATTCAAGACTTGCCGCAGCTAGTGATACAAAAAAAAATGGACAAACCCGAACTGATTACAGACCTGAGGAACGTATTCAGTTAGTACAGTCATTTTTCCTTCTACGCCGCTTGTAATTGGACGGTACATTCCCGCGCGTGCTCGGACCGCGAATTCGGCCACGCCTACCTCACGTGGTCGTTTGTTTATTTATTGACACCGAGGGGTCTGGGCGCATAGTTACCCGTTAAATTAAGTTGACAGGTGAATAAACGGGAGGGAGTGGCACAGCGAATTGGATGCGCCGGGTCTGTGCGCCGACGCCTCGTCCACATCGACTGGTACCACCGACTCGGAAGGTACTAACGTGCATTTGTGTACATAATTTTTTTGTTAGCTTTAATCTCGTTATGACGTTTTACTATTAAACGATTTTTTTTTCACTTATTTGTTTTTTCGCCCATCCCTACAGAAGGCGGGGAGAGACGAGAACTAAAAGAAAAGAGAATAATCACCGAGAGATCATATTAGACAATAAAGTATATTATATGCGTATAAATACCCACATAGCTAACTAAAAAAGACAATATTTTCTCCTTAAATCCTACCCCTCTAATTCGGCTACTAGATTATATAAATATAATATAAGCATAGAAATATGGACACCCACTCAAAAAAAACTCAATAATTTTCAATATAGCCCATCCCTCTCTGTAACTGATAGTCGCCGCCAACTATCAGCGTCTCCTTAGTCAATCGAGCTGTTTGAGCAGCTCCTGCAGCTCATAGATATCATGCTGCTTCTCAATCTGTTCCTGCATAAGACGCTCAAGATTCTCTTGAAATCGTTGGCGCAGCGCCAAGTTTTCAATATTCTCAATCTTCATCTCCTGCTGCATACGCCTGTTTTTAATGTCGTTCAGCTCGACATTGAGCTCGTCGAGCTTTGCCTCAATGGTCTCTTTGCTCAGGTTAGTCTCAGAAAACGATATTGTTGAAGATGACTGCTGGTAGTAGTCGAGGTCTTGCATGACGCTTGGCGAATCGCGCATCTCGTTGAACATTTCACTAGAAAATTCAGTTATTAGTTTCGATTCCGCTGAATTATTCATCACCGAGTTGGAATCGGACAAGCGACTGTCGCCGGAATTCTGACTGTTCTCGTCAATAACGTCCAAAACGTTGAGATGGGCCTCCTCGTCGTCTGAATCGCTGACCGCGCCACCGAAAATATCGTCTTCGGCTACCTGAGGAGGATCAATGATCTCCTTCTTGATCACAGTACCTTTATTCACTTTATTTTCGTCATCTTCGTTGATCACTTCCCACTTGACGCTCACCGCGTCACTGTCGCTCCTCAGTAACCGCTTGATTTCTTTCTCTATCTCCGGCGCCTCGACGTATTTCTTCTTCAGCGTTTTCCTGAACCTCCTCTTTCTCACGTTTTTGGCAGGAGGGGTGATACCGTGAGGCCACAAGTACTTCTTGTCCACCTTGTTGGAGTCTTTTTTTTTCTTTTGGGGCGATTCCTCCTCCACAAACGATTGATCGTCTTCCTCCTTGCAGATCAGCATCTGGCATATGTCGGCCGTTTTATAAAAACTTTTCGAGTCGATCGTCTTGAGCGACTCTATAACAGTCGGTAAGTCGATCACTTTGCCAGGCAGCAGCCAGTGGTCAAGTCGTACCTCGGAATGTCTCATGTCGTCTTCGATTTTGATAGAAAAGCGGTCTTTCAGGTTCGCGCAGCTACGCAACGCTTCGCGTAAAACCCTGGCCGCTTCCTCCGGCAATCGCAATATAAACTGCGACTCCAACTCGGTGGGTCCGTCATCTGATTCCCGACCCTTCCCGTACATAACGTATTTATAAAGGTATACAAAAAGTACTAAATAAACCTTTTTTCTTCACAACTTTTAGGTTATGTTGAAAATTCTAACTCTGTGACACCAAATTCAAGAGAGAAAAAAATATTAACTATTATTAACGCCCAAAACAATTTACAATTTGTTTATGATAATCCGTGCAAAGCGTTTGTTTTCATAAACTTATAGCAAATATACTGATTCCACATAAACAATGAAATTATAAAAAAATATATATATATATATATATATATATATATATATATATATATATATATATATATATATATATATATATATATATATATATATATATATATATATATATATATATATGTAAGGAATTGCCTGAAAGAGGCTTTTTAAAAACATAGGTTTATCAATACAATATACAATATTTATATATATATATATATATATATATATATATATATATATATATATATATATATATATATATATATATATATATATATATATATATATACATATATATATATATATATATAAATGTAAGGAATTGCCTGAAAGAGGCTTTTTAAAAACATAGGTTTATCAATACAATATATATATATATATATATATATATATATATATATATATTCTCACGTATTGATTCACGGATGGAAAAATATGATGACACTATATTCCGGGATATCATCCGTTCGCTCGTTGAACTCCGACTGGAATCCTGCATCCGACTGGAATCCTGCAAATCCTGCATCCGACTGGAATCCTGCAGACGTTTCGCCAAAATCTCACTTGGCATCTTCAATGCTCGCGCTCCGAAAACAGTGCAGTGTTCGAAGTGTTTTCGGAGCGCGAGCATTGAAGATGCCAAGTGAGATTTTGGCGAAACGTCTGCAGGATTCCAGTCGGATGCAGGATTTGCAGGATTCCAGTCGGATGCAGGATTCCAGTCGGAGTTCAACGAGCGAACGGATGATATCCCGGAATATAGTGTCATCATATATATATATATATATATATATATATATATATATATATATATATATATATATATATATATATATGTTGTAAATGTTCAAATGGGTTCTTGTGTTTTAGATCTTTAATTAAAGCCACGGGAACCATTCAATACGTTTAGTAATAATAATTAAGTGGCAAACCCTAAAAAAAAACATTTATATACAAAAACACACCAAAATCATTGAATATATTTACACCAAACCATGCTTAGTTTAAAACAAAAGTATTTTTAACAACCCTTTCATCTGATAAAAATTCATGCAACAATATATTTAGAAATTGCATCGTTGCCACATGAGAAAAAAATCTTTAAAATTAATACTTTATTTAAAATACACACACTTCTTAATCGCTAATTTCGGACAACTCGGCGTCGGATTTCGGTTCTCTCCTCTTCCTTCCCTTCTTGGGTACAAAACCCGGACCTTTCTTGCTCTTCCTAAAAACTTCTATGGCTTTCAGTTTGTTTCTTAGGTGCAAACTCTGCTCGTTTTTTCTTTGAGGTATCACTTCCTTCGTAAGAACTCGAACCCGACTACAATCCGACTTGTTCGCTTCCATCTTATCGAGCTGCGCCTTTGCTTCGTTTGTAATTTCTTCCACTCTCGCCCCTGACGTAATCGCCGTCTGCATTAACACGAAAACATCTTCATCTGTTTTCAGATCCTCAGGTATAACGTCGATCTTAGTTTTTTTGCTGATTTTACGACGAGGAACACCAGCTGCATCGAGTTCCGCTTTCAGCTTTCTTCTTCTACGAATTGCCTCGATTTTATCGGCCACCTCTTCTTCTTTATTATTTTCAATTTTTTTCACATTAGGCACAATCTGGCGACTACTACTTGAAATTTCATCGTCCCCGGGAGTATTTTTCTTACTAGACCTCACTCTTTTAGACTTCGTGACATTTTCTCGCGTCTTAAGCTTCTTCTCCACTTCTTCTTTTACATCTTGAATTACACGCACCGAAGGATCTTGGCCCAAATTGCTTATGGCAGACTTAACCCTCTTACTTAACTTGCTGTCGACATTACCAGAATCGACCTTGAAGTTCGTTTGAAAATAGTCTTTTATAGACTTCTGCATACGATTTTCCGCAAGCCTCGCTACTACGGGCTGTAAAATTTGCTCGGCCTTGGCTCGCGTCCATCCGAATTTTTCTTTAGCAAACTCGATTAGGGCGTCTACGTTGGGCCGACCCCACGAGAACGTTTCTTTGCTCGTATCTACCTCCGGTACGAGATAACCTTCGACAACTTGTACGCTGGGGAACGCCTCCGTAAATACCAAATTCCTCAGCTTTCGTTTTAAAGATACTCGACCCGGGCCTGGCGATTCACCCTTAGTGAACCACGAACGAAACTCCTTAAGGCCTACGACAACAGAAAGAATTGATGAGAAATGATAGGAACTTTTAAGATAATAAAGCGCAAGTTGGTCCTGCTCGGTTCTATAAAATGTAGAAATGAGTTGAAATTAGTGTCGTTTGAGTTAAAATAGTGTTTTGTATATTTCTTATCTGAAGTGATAGACACGCAGTGCTTACAAATTTGAGAAATAGTGTTCGTCTTAAGCGGATGTATATGGATTTGTGATGTTGTTTCATTATGTAATTGTTAGTGCAGTTTCCGGATCTCTTATATTCACGCTGGTAACCAGGCCAGATGGGATCGGTTATCCCGTATGAGATAATTGTAGGAGCCGTTAGAAGAATCGGTTCTGTCGTCATTTTATAACTATTTACTTAAAAGTTTTGCCATCATATGAATATGTTAAAAAACTGGAGGATGGTGGATTAGTCCAGTTCATTATGAAGGCATCCTTTAGGAATTTTTGTCTATAGTTACCTGTTGTTGTAAGCTGGCCGAATGACCTTATGCACCCTTGGCCATTAGAAGTAAATTAACTAACTAACTTGCAAATTGTTTGTTATCAGTTGCAGTGGGTTTTGTTTTTGAGAATTTTGCGAACGATTTTAAAATATAACTGTTACCGGTCCCCATATTCATGCCCCTTGGGGGTCGGATGGGCCAACACGACCTCTACAACAAGGCGGTGAAACAATCAGTGAGTCATCACGAATGGGAGAATAAATGGTGCCCGCTATAGTTATATGTTCATTTATACTTTTTAATTAAAGTATTTGATACTAAAAAAACGATAAATTAAAAGAAACAGTATTCGCGAAAAGGCGTGCATAGTTTACCTGTCCTTACCAATCTCACAATTAGTGTGCGAGATCTAAATATTTGCGTTAATATTCTGTAGGGGGATTTGATATCTATATAGCCTTGTCGGTGTGTGTGTGTTACTTTCCTTTTTTGATTTTAATTCTGATAAACACTTCGTGAATTGTAAGAACAGACCAAAGAAGGCAGTTTTGTCATGCTCACAAGTAGGGGCCTTGCGGAATAAGCAAGCAATAAGAAAGGAAAATTCATTTATTAAAAAAAAAAGGTGAGTCTTACTGAAATAGTTTTCGATAAGTGTAGGGACCTTTAGAATCTAGGTATATGTGAGCTTCATTTCCAACCCCATGAAATTGAAACAGTTACAACCTGCACTCTTGAATCGGCAGAACAAGTACTAACAGCCGATTTAAAAACATTTCGTTTGATCTAAAATGCTTTATTAATTTCTTTATTCTGCGCTAATAATTCAATCTCTACTGAAGGTGCAGGATCCTCTGTTTTACCTGATTTGTACTATATCTTAGAATATTAAAATAATAAGCAATTAAAACGTGTTTTTTATCCCCTTTCACCCATATTTGATATTATGAACGCCATGCAACTAGATATATCACTTTGTTAATGTAAAGACTCATACTTTAGAGTTTCTCGGCCTGGTGAAACCGGTTTTCCTATGGAGAGAAATCAGTAATAGGATTCGTTTAAATGTTTAAACGTGATTCTAAGCTTGCACAATTGCCTCAAGTAGCAGTGGCCAAATAAATAAATGATTATGATGAACTACCTGATATTAAATGATGCGGGTCATGATCTTTAAGTTTCGTTGGCGGAAAAGCGGCCAGGATTTCCAATGCGGTGACAGGACCCACACCCTGCAACCCCGGGGTGTAGTCGCTGCCTACCAATAGAGCGAGTAGTATCATTTCATCCCTTGTCAACTTGAAATGTGTTTGAATACCGTCCGCCCTGAATTCCGCAACATATTTGTTCTGATTGAAAAAATTTTTGTAGACTGTGCGGCCGCCAAACAACCATATGTCGCTGTCGTCGGTTATAGTACCGTCCGTCAGCTTGGCTTCATCGAGGAATGCGCATTGAGCTTCGGCTTCCATCGGGGCTGACAAATAAGGCACCCCAAACAATTCCAAGAGCTCCTATACAAACTTTATGTAAATTCACTGTCATAAAATGTTTTGTTTTGTGAGTACTTGAGCCTCCTGGTACATTTGGTCTGTAATGTTGCTTGCTATTCTCTCTTTAGTCGCCTTCTCGCTCATTAACTCCATTTTTTCACGCTGAAGATCGTTTCTCAACTCATCGAGCTCCATTTTAATCCTGGCTGGAGCCTCGGGCAGAGGTTCCCTTAATTCGTCTCTTGTTTCATTAGGTAACGATTTAGTTTCTGACGGAACGTCGAAAATTTCATTCTCCTTCCCTGCTACAGATTTCGGGGCCTCGAAAATTTCACGAAAACCATCACTTTCAGGAGGGGACACAACAGTTTCCTCTTCTCGGATATTTTTAGCAATTGACTCTTCATTATTTGGTTTAAAATTTACATCTTCGGTATCAATAAAGTCACTGGAGTCGCTAGACGACAAGACATCCACGTCACGGTCCCCTTTCTCAACTTCAAGAACTGGAGCGTCGTTTTTCCGATAACGTTCGAAAATGTCGGAGAAAAGGTCGTCCTTGAGGTCGAAGCCGTCATCCGGTTTAATTGTGACACTAATAGCCTTTCTATCTACTGTTTCCTGAACGGATTGTTCGGCGCAGATGATTTCGTTCGGATCCACCTCTATGAAACACAGAAAATATAACACACGTATAAATTTAAGAAAAATGCGCAAGCGCAGAGTTCTTAACCGTCTTCCTGTAGAAGGTGCTAGCTTTCTGATCAATTTATTCAATAAAATTTTTCGGAAAGAACCTACAATTGCATTTTACATATTATAGAGTCGACTTTGCTTATTTAAGATTTTCTCAGTGTTCCCGTCTTTATCTGCTATTATTTTATCTTATCTCTTCATCAACTCAATTAAGGATACCATTCCAGAGAACATAACTTTTATAGTTCGCGGATGATACCGCCTTGCTGTGCATAACTTGAAAAGGACTTGAGATTAACCCCAATAAAGCGGCAGCTACATTTTTTTCAGGAAGAACTATAATGTTCAGATTTTGCGTAATGTTTTCATATTGATTCCTTATCTGGGGCTATGCTTTTGATTATGATTGATGCTGAATTAAATTCACATAAATTATTTTATATAGCACAATGTACAATGAACATTTTTTCAAAGAAAAATTATTCCTTCACTTATGGATGCTTTTGAAAGAGTCGATCCACTGTTAGAGAGAGTGTATTCTTATACTGTCTAACAGTGAATGGACTCGTCTTTCCTTGTTTCTTTATCCACTGCCGAACTTGTTGAGCTTCATTCCAATTCAGGACTTAAAACTAACGAAAGATAGCAATGACTCCAAGTTATTTGAAATTAAGAAAAGTGAGACTTGGACTCTTGATTTTCATCTAGTTTTTACTCAAAATAAGAACATCCAACTATGCTGAATTCTAAGCCACACAAGCATAAAAGAGGGCAATAGTTAATGCTTCTCACCTAGAACCACAAGAGAACAAAATTAAGTTTTAGGGAGTCCCTCTAGTTCTTCCAAATTAAAACCTAACATCTGGAATACTTCGAGCGAGAGATGGAAATCCAAAGGATTAATTACAGCTCACATTTTTCTACCCCACCCTGGATTATAAGCTAGATCTAAATAGAAGAGAAATCAGATCAATGTGTAGACTGAGAAGCAACCATTGCTGCTTTCCTCCCCACCTGAATGGAGAAACTGCGAATCTGAAGAACTAGGTGATTTAAGTTATGTATTGTTCGATTGTGCTCTTCATCACAACACACACAAAATCACAACAATTGTATGGATGATTTATGAACGCCAGCTCCTCTTCATAGTACCTCCCGAATACTCATTTGAGTTTTGCTGCCAGAATTGCCGGTCAGTTTTTATATATTATTATTATTATTATTATTATCTTGATATATTATATTTACAGCTTTGAATGTTTTTTACATTTTCTGACCTTTGTGCGTATGTTCAGTTTATCACATACCATTAACCAAGAAATTAGCTGAATTGCCCTAGCCGCAGTGGCCAATAAAAGCGTAATAAAAAAAAAGCTCAGACCATATCCTGTCCATAAATATTATTAGAGGTTACATTTGACGAACATAACCTCAATCACTGACGCAACTAATGGTTACCTTTTTTATCCCAGGTGTATTGTGCCATACTTGTCAAGCCTTGAGTATTTGTTTGTTTCCGATAATTTTCTAATTCTTTACCGACGTCAAGAATTTTCGAAATTTCGCTAGGGGTGAGGCCACTGTACTCGGACATGTAGCTCTGCGCAGACGTCATGTTAACGTTGGAAGCCGCCTCGTCTTCGCTAAAACTGGATTGAAAATCAGCATTGGCATATTTTTCTAAAACAAATTGCTTTGTCTCATGGGACTTCTGTGGAAGGGCCTGTTCAGATGTTGACGGCTCATTTGCGAGCGAAAGTACCAATGCTTTTTGCAAGTCACTTTCGAACTCTTGGTCTGCTTTATTTTTGTTTTCAATAACCACTGGATTTTGAATTTTAAATTCCTCGGGATTGGCTACTGATGTGGGAGCTTCTCCTTGTGCGGTGTTGTCCAAAGTCAATGCAACTTTAGTATCTTTTATCAAAACAAACCTAGAAACAAAAATAACCTAAATAATTTGGTTACTGTATTCAAGAATTCGAACAATTCGTTAACTGGGGTGCCCATGACTATAGACCATAGAACCAAAACAATATTACTTTGTATCTTTGTCAGAAGCTATTCTTGTGCCAAGATTTTGCTTTGATATCACCCCTTCTTCTTGTAACATGGATTCCAATTCTGTAAGGCTTAAAGTTTTCCCACCCATTTCCTTCTCTGCATTTTCCAAAGCAGCCTGTACCGCCTGACGTTTTAGCAAGCGGTTCATTTGATATGTGGAAAAATCATTGCTTATTTTAGGAATCTCATGGATTCTGCCTGAAGCATTTGATAAACAAACACCCCTCTTTACTTTCTAATTCATACTAATACATACCCCAAGATGACTGTTTTCTTGTCTCTTTCAAGTCTGTGAGAATTTCATGGCGTACATCCACAGGTAGGGATTTAAATTGGATACTTTCCATATCAATTGTGTGCAGATCCCACTGCTTGGAAGGACTGCACTTTTGTTCATCTTCATCAGAATCATTGTCTGAGTCATTACAATAGGAGTTTGAGTTTTCCAATTTATATATATTTTGGTATATATTATTTTTGTTTTTTTTTTGCTCTTCCTTAGAGGAATCCATATCAAAGCGATTTGCATTTTCAGAATGTAGATTGTTGATTGCCGTATGCTTTAAAATGGTATTTAAAATTTGCTTCTGAAGCCTGTCCACTTCTACATCCTTTTTAGATTTTAACTGGTTTCTTTTAACCTTAAAAATGGGGATAATGTTTACTCGATAATTAAAGCGTCATTTACATACTATCGTTTGCCTTTTAAGTGCCGGAACACCGCCATCAAACACGAATACAGGCTTAATCCTAAAATACAAGAGTTTGCACACTCTGTGGTATATGCCAAGTAAATGCGCGTTCGGGACGGTCGCGCCTCTAGAATCTTGATACCCTTTCACTGCCTGATGAAGCCATAATGAAATATCTACGAAAGTGTGAATAGGACTCGGGCGGATCGACACCTTTCAATGAAACAACTAACCCACTGCTAATACTTTATTCTCCAGAGTCTCAAATGGCACAGGCTTTCCCGAGGGCTCGATGAGTCTCCACAAACCATGTACTCCCATTGAAAATGTAAAACGAAGTATATAAGCAATCTAAATAAAATATGTAAACAAAAACGATTATGGTTAGGCTGCATTAGTTGCAATGTTCGCTTCTTTTTTCTCAGCCACAATATTCAAACCTCATTCTTTGTGGAAGGATTTGAAAATGGCCATACGTCGTTGACAAAGGTTATTTAAGATATACAATTAACAAAATTTTACTGAAAACCTATGGTTCTTTTCAGACACAGTACATTCATAAAATATTTGAGTACATAGTTTCAGAGTATATTTTTTGTAATAAAAAAGCCGAATGATCCAAGCAATATTGGCTAATTGAAGGGAAAGTAGAAGAATCTAAAAAAAAAATTCTCTTGAGATGTAAAAAAATAGAAATGATATCAGAAGACGCTATAATTTTGGGGCCCGAATGGTAATTTTTGACGAGTAATTGAAGTAGTTTGTTATATATATTTCTCGATGTGTTTAAGGCATTGTTCGGAAGAAGGAATAAAACTGCTGTACAAAAACGGTACCACTAAAGACAGAACCACAATGTTGAACGCAGCCCTAGACGTAAGCTATCGAATTGTCATTACTAAAGCGGGGCAGAATTTTCCTTGGTTTTAGACTGACCTCAAAGCTATAGGAAAGCCGTTTTTGGCCACCGAACTGACGCAAAAGAGGACCTCAAAGTGTGTCCTCCAAGTACAAAAGATTAGAAATATTTCTGCCCCAAAGGCCAACGAAAACTCGCAGGCGGCTCCGCGCATGCTCAAACTCACATTAACTGACGGCGAATCTTACATCCAAGCCATCGAGAGTTCACCTATTAGCGCCATCAGTCGCGACAAAACCGCTCCCGGCACGAAACTACTGATCAGCGCTGCCCCGATCGTTTCAGGGTATTTGCTGCTAAGTCCCTCGAGTTGCACGGTGCTCGGGGGCCAAGTTCCTCACCTCCATGAGAAATGGCTCCTTGCCAAAAGCGTCCAGGAGAGTCAAAAATATGGTCGAAAATGTAAGTCGCTGAATTTGACAAGTCTCCGTTTCAGTGTGACATATTTCAGCATCATTGGAAGGCGCCCCGCCGTGGGTCAATTTCGGTACAAAGATGACAGATGATACCCAACCGAAACCATTCAAATCACTTGATAAAGAGAAACCTTTAAGCAAAGAAGACTCAGAATTTGAATTACAGAGACAGGAGGCGATAGCAGAGGCCACATCTTCTTCGTCGCGGAAAACTTTTAGTGGCAGAGCGAAGCAGAATGTGCAGCCCCAGTTTAAGAAACTAATGGAGCCGCATGAGAGGCCGCGGAAGGGAAGGCAAATGACGCCAAGGGACGAGGCGCAAGAGAAGCCTCAGAAACCCTTGGAAAAAGTGTCGCTGTTTGATTTTCTCGAAAGCAAGCTGCCCGCAAATGAGGCGAAACCCCAGTCCCGAGGAAATCACCAAAATGTTGGAGAGAAGTTAAGGTTTAACGGTAGTGCCCCACACTATGTCGATAACACACGGAAATCGAACGACTCGGAGCCTAAAGTAGAAACTGGCACGGGGCGCCCCAACAATAATCACAGGCATGCTGGGAATAGATCGAGTTTTAATAAAAACATGTCTAATATGGAAAGTGCCTCCGCGAGGTCCTCGGCGACGCGGGATATTGAGAATATAGCGAATAATGTGGCGAGAATGTCACTGAGAGGCAATGGGGAGTTTGCGAAGAGGAGTCTCAGACAGCACTTAAATTTGCGACCCGATAATGAAAACAATACTCGACCAGGATCACTCGCGATAGGCAGTGCGTGCATGGCACGGTATTGGGAAGATGGCAAGGTAGGTCAACTCGAAAAAAATTCATAGACCACAACGAAAATTCAAAGAACAAATCGGTTTAAACCAGCCCTTTTTTCTCAGTTTTACAACGCTTCTGTAATTGGCGTAACCGATGCAACATACGTAGTAAAATTCTCGGGTTATGGTAATATAGAAGAAGTGCTCAAAGCGGACTGTTTTTCTCCTACGCCATCCCGTGGCGTCGTCAAAGATTATCAACCTTACGGTATCAGTGGGCGCCATTGACAACACAACCGATACTAACCTCAAATGTTTCAGGCAGCGTCGAGTACAGGGGCAGGCCGGCGCACAAATGATTTCTAACAAATAAATTTTACCTGTTTAATTTATTTCTTTATTAAAATAAAGTACTAAGATTTTACTACAAGGGAGTGAATATTTTATATACACGCATATCACTTATCACCAGCAGTCCCGGAATATAGAAATTCACAACTCGTGACCTTATCAGCCTCGCGTTTTGCGTGTGTAAACGGGCTTCCCCGAGATCCACGTAGAGTCTATGACTAAGTCGTCCGTCAATACAACGAAGTCAGCATCAGCGCCGTAATTTAGTGTCCCTTTTTGAGAGTCCAGCCCCAAAACTTTGGCCGGGTGCAAGCTGGCAGCTTCCAATGCGTATTCGACAGAACACCCTGCATTAAAAATACCAAGTAGTTCAAATATACCATTAAATTTCTATGATCAACCCTTGTGCATTCGCTCCTCCATTTAATACAGACAGAACAGAGCAGTATTATTTTGGCCGTTATTAATTTTTCACCTAAAAGATACTGAAAATTGTTAGGCCTTGTGAGCTACTACTGCAATCGCGTTGTGACGCAAGATTTAAGTTCTGTAACTTGTGATATTTTGTATATGTGTAAGCTGAAGTGATAGAGGCGCAGTGCTATGTTATTCCGTTATGTATATCCGAATGCCTTATATTTACGCTGGCAACCAGGCCAGATGGAATCGGATATACCGTATGAGAAAATTGCTGGAGCCCTTAGAAGAATCGATCGTTATTTTATAACTATTTATTTAGAAGTTGTGCCATCTGAATGGAGGATGATGGATTAGTGCAGATCCTTTCTTTACGAAGGCATCCTTTAGGAATTTTTGTTTGTTGTGTAAGCTGGCCGAATGATCTCATGTAGCCCTGGTTATTAGAAGTAAATTTACAAAAAACACACAGGGCTTATCAACTCTGCAATATGCGGATGCTGGCTAAGGGGACTGACCCAAATTTTAAAAGCAAAATCGTGCGAAACAGTTAAAACCATAAACCATATGGTTGAAATATTCTAAAAGGAGTAGCTACCTGTGGCTTGGATCAAATTCCTCACACATTCGATCATGGTAGCCACGCTACCGCAGAGAGTATTTGTGCCGGCCACGAACGCCTTGTGGTCACGAATTTCCACGTCCATCTGACCGATCTTGTGCCGTCCCTCCTCTAATCCAAGCGCCGATACTGCGTCAGTTACCAAAATCAAACCACCGGGGTGTACCTTGTATGCTATCCTTAACGCTGCTGGATGGGTGTGTATACTGTCCGCAATAATACCGAAAAATATTGGTCTACTCTCCGTGATTTTATCTGAAGCAAGCAGTCCTACCAACCCTGGGTCGCGATGGTGAAACTAAAAACGTACAAGTCATTAAAGGAAATCCGTCATTAGGGCAAGCCATACAGGAAGCATCGCGTTAAACAGATGAGTAATGAGACTCGCCCCGCTTTCGAGCGCCTCCTCGGCTGTTGCCAAATCGGCAGTTGAATGACCTGGAAACAATCAAAAATGGAAACATTTTATAACTAAATTTTTTGATAAAACATCGTGATTATCACCTTGCCATCTGAACTCATTAAACTAACATAATTTTCAGGAAGATACTTTGCTGCTTGGACTTACCTAAAGATATGACAATGTTCTTTTTCCTGATGTTCCTAATGAGCGCTGACGAGTTTACAAATTCCGGAGCCAAAGTAATGATTTTAATGTTATCTAGGCTACCATACACCTCCTCCAATTTCGATATACCCTAGGAATGGAATTGTGAAAACATTTGGTGTTAGAATTTGCCTCCCTTACCTGTTCGTAATCTAGTATACATGCAGGCGGATGAGCGCCCTTTTTCTCCTTGTTAATAAACGGGCCTTCGACGTGAGCGCCTAATATTGTCGCCCCTTGAGATCCGCCTTTACGAAACTTAAGTTTAGGCAAAACCTTGTGGTAAATTTCTATAGGGGAGGTAACCAAAGTGGGGCAGAAAGCGGTCACCCCGTGTTCCAGCAATTTTTTCGATATAACGTTTAGGGCTTCTTCTGTATTGTCTTTGAAAGAAAAATCGTAGCCATAACCTCCTGCAAACATAGAAAATGCAATCGGACTTTTAATATGTGAATGTTTGTACCATTAATTTGAAGTTCTATGAATCCTGGACAAATCAGCAGCCCCTTGCAGTCATACTTGTGGTCAGCATCGCGTCTTTCGTCAAAAAATATCTTCTCCGGATCAACGATTTTGCCATCCCTGACCCATATATCTTCCCCGATTATCTGGTGATTTCTAATTATTCTGCAATTAACAAAATGCCACAGTTCTGCTGTATTGTTCATTATAAACCACTGTTTAGTTTTTAACGAGATAAGGTTTATTGCACTTTGTAGTCCAAATTTGGGATAAACGGTTCTATAACCTTCATATGGCCGTCCTAGATATTTTTTCATCAATTTCTGTCGTTTTGTAAACAAAGAATGCAGTCATGCAGTAAAATATAAACTTAATAGTACTTTTAATGGTTTATTATTCCAATTATTTTAAAATTAGTACCTTCCACAAAATTACAATAAATTTCTCATTTGAAAGTACTTGTATAATACCCTGTGCCTTTTATTCATCCGTTGCCTTTTATTTATAAGTTTTTTTAATCACAGATTAAAAAAACTCGGTGGTCTCATGTCCCATGCGTGACTGTCGACACCAGACACTGAGAGCAGAATTCGTTTTTCTCTGCGCAGAAAACGTAGGTTGGAATTTCACCGTTACCATGGATGTTGGTGCGAATGAAAATGTGTGTTTCAAATGAAATACGAATTATGCTTGCAACCGCCGGTAACACATAAACCTGTTTTAAAATTTGCGTTTTGTCTCACTTGTATATTTTTATCCATAGCAGATTTCAGTCACCGACGAAGAGGTAGCGCTAGCGTCGCGATTTATGTTTGTGTATTTCTTATATCACATAGGAATCCCAGACAATGCTACCAACAATAAAGCCCACCGACCGTTCTTTTCTGTATACTTATTATCAAAAATCAAGTACACTTCAGCCAGTGAATCGAATGCTAAATAAATCGCGTTCCTTAGAAATTAACGTCAAAACCCTTTTACAATTCCCGGGAGCGTGCGCTTATTAGTATGAATTGTAGGAAGCGAGCTCATAATAATCTATTAAGTACACGTCCTTGCCGTTTCAATAATGTCCTTAAGCGAACGTGAAAGTATCCAAAAAGGCACTGTTATCGCCAAACCTTCTCTGATTAGTATACAATTGCGTACGTGGTGTCAATAAGCCGGATTTCGAATACCAATTGTTTCTCGGTAAAGGGAGGTGATAACCTTTTACGGTAAATTATTCGTTTTGGCCAATCGTCTGACTGATTTCGCATACCACAGTGCTTTTACAAAATTCATAGTTTTCGAAGGTAGTTTAAACGTTTGCGTAATTTATATTCTGTGGTGATATATGATCCGTGGCACGTAAATTGATTACCGGAAGTTGGTAGTAATGTATAGTAACACCAGTTAATTAGTTTTATTATTTCACGAACTCGACTCACGATTCCACAATATTAATACGAAACGATAATTTAATATTCAATATCGCAACGTAACATGTGTCATTGCAAAATAAACAAAGTACTTTTGTACCGATCGCCGTTCCTGACTCGACTACGAGGACGAGACGGATCACCCATTGAATAACAAACTCTGGTCAGACTACCGGTACTTCGTACGAAAGAACCCATCCCAAAAATGTCTTTCCCACACGTGTTTCTACGAAACGACGAACGAATAAACATTTCGTTTACTTCCGTTCGATGAGTATTTTTTTCTCGATAAGGCCGCCGTTTGAATATATAATCAGAACGGAGACGAAACAATTTCCAGGTGAATCATGCAGAGGAATAAACCACCGCGCGTGTGACCGCATCGTTCCAGGCAAATTACGCACGACCGCAGACATTTTTCCCGATATAATTTTACACCACGGCTAGCGTCTACGAATCAAAACGATGATTTTGTCACGTGAGCTGTTTTCTGTCTTATTTTTGGCCCACGTTTTGAGTAAATAAAATTTCCCTTAAATTCTCCAAAAAAAATACCATTTCACTAAATTCCTTGTTAACTACAAAGCTAACCTCAACAAAACAAGAATCGCCGCAAGCAAGATCAATGCTTAAATGAATCGGAAAGGAGTTGAAAGTTAAAACGCTGGTTAAGTTTTAAGGCAGGGTAGAAAGTTAAGATCAAAAGTCTTCGTAAAGTGCTTTCGAAACTACAAAATTTTCTTTAGGTTATGTTTGTCTTGCGTCGCAGATGTTTGGCGCATTGAGTCGAGGACGAATTGGGCTGATATGGAAATTATGCAAGGGGGACCCGATTGTAATAATATAGTAACTTGTTTAATGAGTTATTTGAGAAATAAACCGATTTTATTTGAGACAAGTATATTGTCAGATCATGACCCGCAATAGTCAATTTATACTTACGGCTGATCTTAGAGTCACAAATTTTAGCATTATGTACGTTCTTCTTTTTCTTCTTCTCGTTCGTTCTCCTAACGGAGATAGGATATTATCATGCCTATCCTAATATTGTTAACAGCTGCTCTGAATAGTTGGTTTGATGTCATTCCAAAGCATTTCCTTAAGTTTTTTGTTACGTATGTATGTTAAAGGAACCTTAAAAACTCAGGCAACAGTAACGTTGCAACAATAGAACGAATTTCTTTTATGTTCATTCAGTATTCTTCAATGAATCTCTTCGTCTTCTGCGAAGAGTTACTTATGTCTCACATAGATCTCTTTAGCAGGTTCCACATTTGGATTCTCCAAAGCGCTACCGCTCTAGCTTATACTAGGGCTTCATAGAAGTCTTGCATGTTTCGTACCCCTAATTATAGTCGTTGATTTAGGAATGGAGCAACCACTAGCAAGTAACTAGTACTTGTTCGATCATACTAGTTGTTAGTTCAAGACTGAAGTAAGGGGTAAATGGTGGTTGAACATCAGTTATTACTGGTCGGAGATGTTTCGTATTTCTTTCCAAAATTAGACCTTTATTGATTTCCACCTCAAATGACATCTTCGCGAGATACGCTTACCAAAACGGATTATCAGAAAAGTATGTAACTACTGCAAAAAAAAACTTGTCAAGAATTGCAAAACAGATGAAAGTGATAAACAAGCAGCTTTACTGAATCAGAGGAACAGGGCAAGAAGCGACAACAAGAAACCTGCCGACGTTAGCAAAACTAAGGGGCAATAGTATATTATGCAACACGTGCGGTAAACGGCATTTGATTCACGAGTGTATTTGACACGATCGGAGCGAGTGTTTAATAAACGAGTGACTTAAAAAGTTTGCCGAACGTGTTGCATATTATACTTTTTCTACGACCGTTAGTTTTTGGGTATATTTTTGAAAAACAACAAGAATACATTCACGTCAAAATTCAAAGTTTAGGAAATATCTCCGAAAACATCCGATTGCTCCCAAACCCGTGCGAAACTGACGTGGTAAAGTGACGCTTCCCGCACGCTAGATCGGTGTGTAATTAGGTATTTTATAGACGGGCGTAGAAAAATTATATTTATTTAAAAATTGTATGACAAGTGTAATGTCAGATCGATGCTATGAATTATATCACAAGCAATACACTATTTGTACTCATGACTGATTTTACAGTCAGAAGTTTAGTATAATGTAACAGAATCGAGCGAACTGCCTGGACTCTAACCCTCGCGCAGATGCCAGGATTAAAAATCTGACCCTCCCGCAGTACCCCTTCGTTTATCACGTAGTTACTAATGATCCGTCGACTTTTCGATACCTATCATCGTTTAATTACGGCATAAAAAGCGAAAGGGCGCCGCGAAGACAGCTGGAAGCGTCCGCGGCGGTCAAAAATATGACCGTTCGACTCCGCCCCATTATCCAGGTGCTAAATGCGGGTGTACATTGGTTAAAAAATAGACGATAAGTTTTCAGTTTTGCGTCGGGTACGTCGGGGCTATGACGTTCGCGATGGGTTTCCGCGAAGACACAAAAAAGTGCACCAGGCACGTGCCACACAACGAGAGGTCGCCGCAAACGGTCTCGAAACGAAACGCCCGCGAACGCAGGCGAGTACAGGCGGTTAACAGTGCTTTTATGAGGCTGAAGAAGGTCGTACCGTTCGAGAACACTAGGTAATGCGAGATTTTTTCTTGAGCCGCGCACAATGCAGTTATCCGATACACTGACCGTCGTTAAAAACGCTTCCTATTGTGTCCCGGATTTGTCGCCGTAGCAGCCAGACTGATTCGTGAAGAGCCCCGTGCATGAAACACGATATTATTTTGATTGGCGGCGTTCTCATGCACGGTTGATCGAAACGATGTTCTTTTTACAATTTTCTTTTTTCGTACGGCGGCGGACACATGACAGTGTCGGTTAGAATCGACTCAAGCTTGTCACAAACCACTGTAGTACGCTCATAACAGATCAAGAAAAGCCGTAAAAATATGTTTCAGAGGTAAGCGGATCAGCAAGGTAAAAACTTTACTAAAGGCGATAGAGTACATCCGCGGGCTTATCCACCTCCTGCAAAATCAACGGGACTGCAGCTACCCCGACTTTTCAATGGTAAGTGCCGCGAAGTAGAATTCTCCAAACTATATACCAATATTTTGGTAAATTTTTATGAAGGACTAACCGCTGGCCTACCTCGCTTGGGTTTCTCTTTGCAACCCTCAATAAATAAATTGGCAATGTCACAATGATCTTCCAGAATCGTACTTCGGTACTTCGTGCATACAAATGCTGCAAGCTGACGGATTTGTGTAGAATTTCATCGGTGAGATTCCTCGATTATTATTACTCCATGCAGTGAAAAATCGATTCTTACTCTTAAATTATACTCTTAAAATACAACAGTTCGCACGGCACAGTTCTTATCGGCTAACATCTTAAATACGGCACTGGCTTGTGGCACACGTGCTTTACAACAGGCGGGTCTTAAACTGGTTCCGAAGTCAAAACCATAAAAGGTTGTAAAAACGGTATATGGTGTGGTGAAGCATATCTTTTGGAGAACTCTACTTATTTGTTACCTATCGTTTTATTGTAGTTTGATATTTGAGCGCCCGAAATTAAAAGGTATGTGATGTTGCAGGGAGGCTATTTCGTCCATCACATGGAGTCCAGCGTATATGACGAGTGGGAGTACGAGAAGAACGAGTTCGCGTATTATCAAGACAGAAAACATCAATTTTGAATAATTCTTTTTAAGATTATGTTCGTATTCTAGTCAACTTAACCGAAAAATGCAGTAAAGGGTGTCGTTTGAGGATCTTACGCATTTATTTAGCTTAACTTTGTGCTTAAGAGATCTCACTCTTGTCCGTCATGATTGTGAGCTTGAATGTGCCTAAATAAAAAGGACGCTTGTTGTGAACAATCTTAAAATTTAGATACCTCCGTTTAGTACATATTCTAGGGTTAATACTTTGCGATTTTTCGACGTCTTTTGTGTTTACCGTTTTGTTTGTTGGAGTCATCAAGTTCAAGTACTTCGTGAAAATCGGAAAATGAAAATGTTGTATAGCCAAAACGTTGCGAATACATATATTGAAATTAAACCTGTAAAAAGAAATATGAGGCCCTGTCCATGCCAATAATACAGGAACTTATGAATCAAATTTGAAAAAAATGTTGGCAATATTTAAAATCTCGATTTGCGACATTCAACCACCAACATGGCTGGTAACAGTTCGTCCATAAGTTTCGATGCGGCATTTTTAAGGTAATATTTTTTCAAAATAACCACGATCTTCTACTGAAAGGATTCGCTAATAATAAATCAGTACTTGGTATTCTTTCTTCTTAAGGTGCCTGCTTCATTACTGAAGGTTGACGACAATGGCAGCAAACTCTTCTCTATTCCTTGCCGTTCTCAATAGGGCGCATGTGTCTAATCTTGTTCACTCTCTTATGTTTTTAAGCCATGCACATTTTCGTTTTCCGGCCATCTATCTTTCCTTCCATGATCAGATTCAAAAGTTGATATTTTTCTCCTCTGTATATATCCTAAATAGCTGATTTTGCGCCGTTTCACATGCTGCAGGAGTTTTGTCTGTTCCCATCATTCTTATAATATTTGTCATTCGTTTTGTCCATGGAATCTTCAAAAGTCTGCGGAATACCCACATTTGAAATGCTTCCAGCCTTTCCCATTGTCCAAGATTCCGTGCCGTATAAGTATAAGTGACATAAAACTCTTTAAATGTATGTACGCGTTCTTATTTAGACTGCCAACAACTCATGGCGACTTGAATAGGGTTCTACTATGGTAAAACATCAATGGCATGGGGATAACACATTCAAGTGCAAAGTAATCATGATTAGTAGACGGCGACCTCACATTAATTTCAACTGCATCACTATTTTAACGATGAGCTATCCTTTATGCCATCAGTAATGTAATAGAAAAGTCAGTTATGATGCTGGGTTTTCTCAAAAGATATACCAGAGATTTCTCTTCCATTCAGTCTGTAAAATCTCATTATTGTTCACGTGTTAGAAGATACCTCGAATATATAGCTTCTAGCTGCAGCTCGTGCCGAGAAAGTTTCTTCACTTCAATAACATTAAGTTTTTTAACAATCGCCTGTTTAATTATGAAGCCCTATCTCGTGAACTCGGTATTTTGTCTCTTGTGTGTATTTTATGACCGATTTCTGCTTGTCCGAATAATTTACGTGCTCCTTATATATTTCACCCGCACTAACCTGCACTTTGCGCCCTGCCTCATCTATTTCCACATACTGAACTTGTTTTTCCAAAGCATCTAGGTATATTCCGAGAAAATAATGGCTTGAAAATGCCACCTCCAAATTTATTAACGATCTTTTTTTGTTAAAAACAATATTTTTAAATCCCGCGCATGCGCATATTGAACCATCGAAACGAACGAGGGAACAGCTTCAGCTCTGAAGAAGCCAACATGATGATTGGCGAAACTTTTGATTTATAAACAACCAACGCAGCAGGATTCTAGAAGATTTGTAAATAGTATTACTGTAGCCTGTCGAAGTTTCTTTGAAAAAAAAAAGATCGTACGCTAGCTTATTGTTACTGCATCATAGGGTGTTGCGCAGCAAAGTACGCGTGGGATTACCCGAAAAAAAAAAGAAACGACCAGACTCCCTCGAGATTTAAACGGCCTCATTCGTCGACATTTCCTAACTTGCGTCACATAGATGTGGGCGCGACCGCAACAACCGCGAACCTTTTTTCGATGCCCCCCTCCCCCCCTTTTATACGTTACATATTATTGTTCAAACAAAACTCTTCCGTCTTTGGCGGGGCGGTGACGTAAATGCCGACTTTTCGTTCCGTAACATTCGGTATGAGAATGGCCGTTCTCGTTATACAATATTACGTAAATTACGTAAAGGAAAGGGAAAGTGGGACAAGCGCTCGTTATTTTGCCCCACTGAACTCTGCCGACGCCGCCGCTGTTGCGCCTGCCTCTTTCCGGGTTAAAGTTAACGCAGCATGTCGAACGGGGCGCGGCACCAAAAATCCCGTTTTCACACCACTCATTCTGCACACATACAAGTTGCATCGAATACGATTTATCGAGGAATTCGAGAATGTCCGTAGATCGAAATGGCGCAATCGATAGCAAATGGTAACAATTTTTTAACCACATACAGTTTTGTTAGCACTCCGCGTTCATGAAACTACCGATGACGTACGACAGCTGATCGCGACCATCTTTAAACAACAAACACTTTCTTCTTTTCTGTTGCGTTTTACAACACATTCCGCCCAACAACTCTTTTAAATAGAGTGGGATTTCTTCTGCAAAGCATTTAGGGTTTTTAAAATTATTCATAACTTGCATCTAGCGCCGAAATAATTGTTTCTACTCCCATCTGCAAAATACCTAATTACACACCGATCTAGCGTGCTGGAAGCGTCACTTTACCACGTCAGTTTCGTTTCCCATGAATCCGTGCCGCTTCGGACATTTCCGGGATTTTACCGCACGGGTTTGGGAGCAATCGGATGTTTTCAGAGATATTTCCCACGCTTTGAATTTTGACGTTTGTCAATTCTGAGAGAATGTATTAGTGCTGTTTTGCGAAAATGTGCCCAAAAACTAACGGTCGTAGCAATATGCAACACGTTCGGTAAACTTACGTTTATTAAACACTGACTCCGCTGCGCTCCGCTCGTGTCAAGCTCGTGAGTCAAATGCCGTTTACCGCACTTGTTGCATAATATACTAATCACTCAGTTTTCGATTTTCTGCTGAAGAATAAGTATGCACAAGTGCAGTCACATGCGGGGCAGGCAGAACATCTCCTGAAAAATGCTTTCTTCCTCGTATTCTGTTTAAAGGATCGGTTGCCGGTAAAATGACGAACACTGTGGAAAGGAAAAGCAACAAATTATCCTGACATTCTTAGTGCCGACAAAGTTGTTTTATTTTTATTGTCGTATTTTAAGATTAAGTCTACTGCGCTTATGTGTGCAGCTCCGGAATATTATTATAAGTTCCAGGCATGCGCACTGCCTGAAAACTATGAAATTAAACAAAAATACTTCGCAAGGATCAAAAAACGAACAAATGAATCCACAGATGAACACCAGTACACATACTAGGACTACAGGACTACAGACATATATGTGGTAGTATACAATTAGTATTACGTCGCTCGAACCCTTTCCGTGCAACCGACTGCGTCCTACTTAACTTTTCTCACCGACCAAGACGTCCGACGTGTCGACCGATAACGTAAATTGTGAATTAAAAATCGCCGCTGCGCGTACGAACTTCGTTGCGCAACGACCACCAGATCATTTCCTTTTCGCGTAATGGTCGACTTCAAGTCTAACATAAATTAAAACCACCCCCTCGTTTCAAACCTAAACAAAAAAAGAAGTCTCCCACGGACCACGGAGGTAAGCAACCTTGTCGACCGTAACACTAGAAGGCTCTAAAACAGGAGACAGGTTATGGGAGACACATGTGCTCCCCTGAAGTTATTCGAAATCCCGGTTCAAAAGAATGTCATCTACTTAAGTGACTGTGGCGCCAGTGGCGTCGTTTTCCATTCGCCCGCATGACCATAACAAATAACATAACCTATATCACAGGGCTCGGTCGGCAAGGCGTGGCTTCGATTCCCACCGGGAGCCTTGGGCACTGTACTCGTTATAAATTTGCTTAAAAGCTGAAAAACCTCGTTGTATGCTGGCCGAATTGCCTTATTAAGCAGTGGCTAAATAAAGCGTAATTAAAAAAACCTATATCTAGAGAAATGTGGTTGGTAGAAGGCTTTCATTTGTATTTATATTGAGTAGATAGGCACTGATAAACGGCGCAAGACATCGCACCTGCAAAGACAAACTTGCCGCTTTTGTCATTGCACGCTGAATTCCCCGTCGAACGCAAGTTTGACAGTTTCCTAGTTATATATGTTCCTTTATTTTCTTTAACCAGGTACAGTCGATTATATTTCACCACCATTCTATGCTAGTCCATTTTTTTTTATTCAAAACACGATGCAGATCAATTTTTATATACTTTTTCATATACATGGTACGTGCGTATTTTTTTGGTACAATCAGATGATGGAGAACCAAAATACGTCTTGCGCGCTCTTCCCGTTTCGTTTTCTGCCATTTGTCACGCTGCGCTCCCACGAAGATGGTAGCAAAATCAGTGGCGACACGCCCATGTCGACATTAAAAGTGCATCCGTTGACAAAGGTATATGCGTTCTCCTGACGCACTCAAATTATTCCGCTTCATCAGGGATCGCATCCGCAAGCCTATTTTTTGTTTCTCGCGACAATGTAAAAGAAAATCGCGAATAAGGCTTTGTTTCGTCGAATAATGGAAAAGCCGCATTTTTACTAATATCGAGTCTAAGGTGTCGCCATTTTTCGAAACGTAAAAAAACGGGATTTTTTTTATCTCGACGCGTAAGTAATTGCCTCGCGTGTAATAACGAGAAAAGGCAGTACCCGTGCGGGTACCTCATTAACCGCCGAAGAAAAAAGGTACCCGGATCGTTTGGATGTGGCACATCCGGTCGCCACTCGGTAACAATCCGGTTCTGTAGGCCGCGTTGCCGCGTTTACGGCGACCCGATACGTACGAAGGTGTTTCTCGCGGGATGTAATTTATCTTGGTGCGCAATAACGTAAAACGGATCAGACGTCACGTCGAAGGCGGTGCAAACTAATATGTCGATATTTTGCATTACCTTGTTGGTAGTTGTCGCGGTTCACTTAACCTTGGTACAACGGGCTGTCAAAAATAAAGAAGATTTTGAAAATAATTCCGTGTAAACAGAAACAACTCATTCAAGTTTAGTTGGGAAATCGACAGGTCTCGCACCATCTCGGGGAAGTTCGGAGGG